GACAGTACTAATTCATTTAAGCTACTGGTAATGTGACTGAAAATGGTTTAAGTGAAGATTTTGAAACCATATAAACTCTTTTGGATATTATCCCAAAAATGAAATGGAATAAAACTTTTATCTTCTTTGGAAGGATTGTTTTCGTATTGTATGTATGATTTGGAGGTACAACCATGACAGAGATTCATCTAAGATGGCCTCTGTTAATCCATTCATGTTACTTTATGCATATATCAATTACGAGTGTGAATTTTTATATCATTTAAAGAAAAAATATATTTACCAAGAGAATTAATGTAATTAATTTTGAATAATACTATATTCAGAATATTCCATAAAATTTAAAAGTGTGTACAAATTGAAAGTTATCTCAACAATGGCTCTATAATGAATTATTTGTGATAATTACATGCACTTCATGTGTCGTTACTCTTGATCTGCTTTTGGTGTCTTGTAACTGCTTCCACTACTTGTAAAATAATAAAATTGTGACAACCTATATAAACTGCTCGTCCAAAGTTTCTATGGGTGTAAGATTCATTGCATGGGTACTACTTGTAGTCTTTAACTACATTGAGCTTATGAACCGCACATTAAGAGTATTTCAACACTCATCTCATTTTACAGGCTCTTTCTCATTATTTCTATCATGTGTGATCAAGAGATCTTAAATTTGATTTCTATGTGATATATATTTTAACCATTTTGAAAGGTAGCAAAGTAGTCTTTGAGAGTCATCTAAGCAATGAGTCATGTGAGCAACCCCCTGAAGCTCTGATATTTAATTGAGGCGCTCGCTAGCCTGGACGTCGGGAGTTCGATGCCTGCATTGGCCGAAAAAGTTCATCCAGATTTTCCATCGTGGTTCCCCCTTGTCAATGATGCAGGATGGAGGGCCTGACAAGGACAGCTGTCTAGTCAATCGGATGAGACACAAAACTGAGGTCCCGTGCACATAAAAGATCCCTTGACAGTTGGAATGCGATATAAGAGTAGGCCGTAGTGCCGCTATCCGGGCAAAATTTCCCTCATAGCAAACCGTATGGCGTATGCCCGTCTTCATTAGCCCATATCAGAGCAAAACAGTAGGACGTTAAACTGCATTTCATTTCATTTCATTTAATTGAGGCAGGTGGGGGCATCCATTTCACCACACCTTAAATCTATTACTTTAAAAAATTCATTCAATTTATAAATATCACCACACACAAATATTCAAAAATATTACTGCATAATGCATGAATTTCATGTTAAGTAGAATATCAATACTAGTGCTGTGTACACTCAGATAACAATCGGTAATTAAGTTATTGGATATATTGTGGTCTTATAGGGCAATTTTCTGGTCATTAGAAATATCATTAAATAATTTCATTGAGGTTAATATCTGACCTAATTGTTCTTTATGGAACACATTTTTACAGAGTGTTGAGTTGTTTGTGTCAGGAAATCTACTGTAAATCAGTGTAATGTAACACAGGCTTGTTATTTCCTGTTTAAACTTTCTACATATTTTACCTACACAATCAGTGGAAATTGCTACTGTCTGATTTTTGACCTCAGTTTATATAATACTACTGTACTTATATACATTGAACAAATTAAATATATAAACTTTTTATAAATGATATAATTTTCACTAAAGCAGTAAAAAAAAGCACAATAATAAATATCAATGCATGATTAGTCTTCTGTGATTTGAAGAATGGAATGTTCAGACTTTTATATTAAATGATTTTTTAAAAATTAGGCCTGTGTACAATGTTATAGGCAGCTGTATGACTTAATGCATATAAAGTTTTATCTAAGCTTAAAGTTAAAGAAAATATTTACCAGTATCATAAAAAACTAGAATATACATTAAAGAGGCATTCTGGGAGATTCGATAAAGAGTTGTCCGTTCTCGCTATAATAGTTAAAAATAAAATAAGGTAAATAGAATATATTGAAAATTTCTGTCAAATTGCTCCATTGTGAACCAAGATATTAGCTTTTGAATTTTAAGCCCAGCCTCGATCATCATTACTAAAGTGGGTACGATAAAAAACATAGTCTTGATTATCCATTTTTATACGCCCACATGGAAATGTGGTCGTATATTGCTGTCACCCCCATCCGTCCGTCCATCCGTCGTCCACAATTTCTTGTGAACACTCTACAGACTACATTTATCATCTGATTGTTTTGAAATTGATATATGTTGTTTGCATTAGTGAGATGAAGAAGCCTATTTAATTTCACGAACTTCCGTTAATTTCTTCTGGAGTTATGGCCCTTGTTTCACTTTTTTTGCACCTTGTGAACGCTCTAACGACAAAAGTTATCAACCGATCTATATGAAATTTATATGCATCATTTGAATTAGTAAAACAAAGAAGCCTATTGAATTACATCTAGAGTTATGGCCTGTGTTTCACTTTGTTGAATCTTGTGAACGCTCTAATGACAACAGTTATCATCCGATCTGTTTGAAATTGATATGCATCATTTCGATTAGTGAAACAAAGAAGCCTATTGAATTTCAGCAGTTTCTGTTAATTACGCCGTGAGTTATATCCCTTGTTTCACTTTTTTGTACCTTGTGAATGCTCTAACCACAAAAGTTATTACCTGATCTGTATGAAATTTATATGCATCATTTAAATTAGTAAAACAAAGAAGTCTATTGAATTTCAGCAATTTCCATTTATTACATGTAGAGTTATGGCCCTTGTTTCACTTTGTTGAATCTTGTGAACGCTCTAATGACAACAGTTATCATCCGATCTGTTTGAAATTGATATGCATTATTTAAAATTAGTTCAACGAAGAATTCTATTGAATTTCAGCAATTTCCGTTAATTATGCCCTGAGTTATAGCCCTTGTTTCACTTTGTTGTATCTTGTGAATGCTCTAAGTTATTATCAGATCTGTATGAAATTTATATGTATCATTTAGATTAGTAAAACAAACAAGCCTGTTGAGTTTCAGCAAATTTCTGTTAATTACATCTAGAGTTATGGCCCTTGTTTCACTTTGTTAAATCTTGTCAACACTTGAACGGCAAAAGTTATCACCTAATCTGTATCAAATTCATCTGCATCATTTAAATTAGTGAAATAAAGAAGCCTATTGAATGTCAGCAATATCCTTCAATTACTTCTAGAGTTATGGCCCTTGTTTTACTTTGATGAACCTTGTGAACGTTAGAGCGACAAAAGTTATCATCCGATCTGTATGAAATTTATATGCATTATTTGAATTAGTTAAACGAAAAAGCCTGTCGAATTTCAACAATTTCTGTAGATTACTTCCAGAGTTACGGCCCTTGTTTTAGTTTTTAGAACCTTGTGAACCCTCAAACGACGAAAATTATAATGTCATCTGTATGAAATTGTCTATTAAATTCCCCTAATTACCAACAAAAGAATAAATATGTGACAACCCTTGTCGACCGCTCGGACGATATAGCTGCTGTGGGCGTATGTTTTGTTGCCAACCTATATTTAGATGGGGGGGTCACGGTGGCTAAGTGGGTAGGACGCTGTATCGCTAGCCTGGAGGCCGGGTGTTTGATCCCTGCATTGGCAGAGAAAGTGCATCCAGATTTTCCAGCGTGGTTGCCCCTTGTCAGTGATGCAGGATGGAGGGGCTGACAAGGACAACTGTCTAGTCGTTTGGATGGGACGAAAACCTGAGGTCCTGTGTACACATTGGCGTGCACGTAAAAGATCCCTTGACAGTTGGAATTCGATATAAGAGTAGGCGGTAGTGCCACTGTCCGGGCAAAATTTCCCTCACAGTACACTGTATGGCGTATGCCCATCTTCATTAGCCCAGTTCAGAGCAAAACAGTAGGATTTTAAACTCCATTTTTGGATTTAATCATCAATGAGCTTTGAGCAGCAGATCATATTCAAATCCAGTGAAAATCAGACACATAAGATGACATCAAGAGTTGATTATGGTTTGGATAAGTCGATTAATGTCTAATTAATAGTTTATATAACATTTCAGGCCAAAGAAAGACCGGCAATAGGCAGATTTAGCTCTTGCATAATGTATGTTTAAAGCTCTAAGTAAATCAACACTTAGCTTTTCATTTAGATATCTACAGATAAGCTAATGATAGAAACTTAATCAAGATAAGACTATTAAATTCAAACATTATTTGGAAATTGTAATTTTTATCAGGTGAGCAACATGTAAATGAGTTAGCTCATAGTTGCATAATTTAACATCAACATGGATAATGTTATATAAGTTTATAAGTACACACTCTGCTAATTTGTTTGTTTCATATAAAGCAATCAATTTTTGAGAGGGCAGGGGCATATTGGGTGCAGGGGTTGGGGGTTACTTGCTCCTGGACAAAATCAGTAATTCACATATGGCTATCAGGTATGGCAGATAAGCTATGGAATGACAGCTAAAAGGGGTATGCAAGTAAGCTGTGGTCTGTGGAATTAACAGAAGTTAAATTTATCATCACAAAAAATAATTTCTTACAATTATAGACAGGGATCTTTTGTAACAGGCAGCTCAAGTCTGTCATGCTTTTTTCATAAATTGAAAAAAAGGTTAAAGGTGGTAAATTGTATTTTTTCCAACTGTATCAAATATTGGTATTCAAAGAATTGCCCAGTTGTATGGAAAGGGACCAAGGTTAGCATTGCTGTGATTATGAACAGGGGTCTATTTCACACAGCGTACCTACATGTGAAGCTATGTACGCATAGGATGAATCAAGTTGTATAGCAAATGTTATAATTAATCTAAACCGGAAATTTCTTCATCAACAGGGCCCTATTTCACAGTGAACGTAGATGAATAATTATTAATTAGGTACACACATGTTCAATAGATTTTTATACTAGTAAAGTAAAACATTCAATTTAATTGAAACAGAATGCTTGGATCAACTGGTACAATGCAAATACATTATATGATATGCTTGAAATTATTGAATAAAATGCTCTATGTACACTATATATCCTGATTTTAATTTATTGTCTTTCAGGAATTCCATGTGGCTTATGTCTTTATCAAAATGGCTAACTCTCCAAGACCAGGTGTTTGGGCACTACTTCGATCAACAGATTTTGGAGAAACCTATAAACCATGGCAGTATTTTGCTGATACACCAAGCGATTGCTTGGAATTCTTCAATACTCCTGCAAACAGACGGATAGTGTTTGATGATCAAGTTTTATGTACTACAGAATTCTCAAAAGTTGTACCTTTAGAAAATGGAGAGGTTTGTCTTTCTTTGTTTGGGACAAGATAGTTTTTGTTTTGTGATTAGCAAGTGGACATGTTAGTTATTTTGAATATAACCTTGTTTATCTGGTAAATTCTTTAAGTCATACTCACAATAATACTATTTGAAAAGAAGTCTAAAGGCTCATTAATCAATTTGGTGTCCTTGAGATATTTCAGACTCCAAAGTACATTAAAAATAATAGATATATTTCTCACGAATGTGTAAATTTGGTTAAAAAGTCTAACTCCTCGTTGACAAAAAAAATAATTAGTATAAATTTGACACTAATTCTGCCAAAATTGTTTAAAAATAGGTATAGACTGGATAAGCTAAGCTGTACATGTGTATATAAGTATAAGGTTTTTAGAAAGAAAAAACTAATTTCATCTTAGCTAACGCTTTCACCAACTAGGGGGATCATCAGGCATTTAATAATGAAATTAGTTTTTTCTTTCTAAAAACTCATATTTCTATATGGTTTTACCTGAGAGTAGAATCTGTTATTTATTTCATATACTGTATATATATATATGCATGTTACCTCCATGAACCCATCACTGTGTCTGACAAACATGGATTTCATTTTCAATAAAGATAAAAAAATTCAAATACCAAATACATTTAATTTTAGCAATGGGATCTCAAACCATGGCAAAATGCTGTAATATTTGGCAATATCCCTTCTTATTACTCGTCCAACTTAATTTGCTGTCTCTAGAAATTGGTCAATAAATTAAAAAATTGAACTTCATTTTCAGATTGTCATCTCATTGGTGAATGAAAGACCTAATGCCAAAAACTTCTCTTATGCTGACAATTTACAAAATTGGACAAAAGCCACAAATATTAGATTGCAGTTTATCAGAACAAAAACTCTACTAGGTCATTTAATGGCTGTAGCAAGAGAAGATCCTTCTGTTACCAGACGTGTAAGTATTATTGATGGTTTATCACAATTATAAATATTTATATTTACCCAAATGGAGTATGAATATGATTATAACATTTATTAATAATTTCGATAATATTCAAAATAATCCTACAATTGCCTAATTATCAATATTACAGTGTAATATTAAGTGCAGGAGGACTGCACCAAACATAAACATAAACCCATAAAACAAAACGCAGACAATACATGCAATATACACAGACATTGCAAACAGTAAACAACACACATATCAGATCAAGTGAATGAATCCAGGGGCCAGTCCTGGGCCTGTTATGTGACCGGCTTCACTCAAAATGAATGAAAACAAAGTAACAATAAAGGAAAAACAATCCATGAAAAAAGGTGACTTATTTCCCAAATGTATCATTCTAGTGAGTCGTAATCTATGTCATAGTAAGTCATAGTAAAGTCTGAATGATTTGTAAATTTGAAGTTAAAACCTTTATACTTTGGCAGTGGATTAGCTGATTTATGTACACAGTCTAACCTAGAATTGGCTTGTTTTACTTGTTAGTTAATTGATATCTTTATTCTTATCCGTCCTAATTTCATTTCATTTATTCATATGTGGTATTTTTTTTCAGTATTACTACAGTATTAAGGATATATCTATTGGTGGACGTTGTGTATGTAATGGTCATGCTGAAACATGTGATACACCAGACAAAACTGATCCAACTAAATTATTATGTACATGTCAACAGAATACATGTGGTGATCAGTGTGAACAGTGTTGTCCCGGTTTCGTACAGAAGGCTTGGCGGAGAGCTTTAGCTGAACAACCATTTGCTTGTGAACGTAAGTTTGGCTCATAAAATACTGATCAAAACAATTATTTTGCCAGAACAGTTAGTTTCTTTTTAAATTTAGTTAACAGTTACGTAACATTAGATCTGCTGTTTATAACGCTCAAGTCCCAATAAATATAATTCCAGATAACTGATTACTGTTTGTTTTTCCAAAACCATTATTGTTTCTGTTGAAATTATGTTCAGTAAAAGTTAGTTATTACAACATTAGATCGACTGTTGATGTTTCCGGTCAATCATTAGCAGAACATGGGACATGTAGAATGTTATCGTATTGTATGTATGTAACTGATTATTTTAGCGTGTCAGTGTTATGGTCATACATCAGAATGTATCTATGATGAAGAGGTAGCTCAACAGAGACGTAGTATAGACATATATGGTACCTACGAAGGTGGTGGTGTATGTCAGAATTGTCAGGTATGTATTGTTAAAATCAAACCCCCCCTTCTTTTTGTGAATCCAGTGCTTTTACCGCTGGACAAACCCAGCATGGGTATAGAGGAGTTTCACGATTTTTCAAGCCTCTTTCCCACTTGTCATAGGTCATTACAGGCAGCTTTACCTAGTTGTTTGGCCGAGGCAAACATTCATGGATATTGGAATGAACATAAAAAAATAGGCAGAAATGCCAGGGTCAAGGGAAAATTGTCCTCCTTTAGCATTGAAAATGACCATATGTTAGTCTCAAAATGACAATTGTTGACAAGACATTCAACTTCATTCTGTTCCTTTCTCTTTCCCTCTCATCCCAACTCTGATATTTTGTTTATCTGCTAAGAACAACATAGTTTGCACGTTGCACAAGATTGCACTGATTTGCTTGAGTATTACTGTAAAACCAGTAAAAATTGTATTTTATGACTAAAACATCAACATCTTATTCATGGCCAGGTACATTGAACTCATATTTGATTATAAAACATTTTGTTTGATTGATGACCATTGTGAGATTACAACTTAAAATTATTGAGAAATAATTTTGATTCTATGCTATTCATTTGAATATGGTCAACTTTAATAATATAACAATATTATTTTATTCAACAGGATAATACCATGGGTATAAACTGTGAAACCTGTGTACCAACCTACTATAGACCATATTATGTAGAACGTAATGCTACAGATGCCTGTCAGAGTAAGATATAACTGTTTTAATACTATAGATAATGCTAGATACATCACCACTTTTCTTTTATTTTCTTTTTAGATATAATGCATGATGTTTTATACCACTAGATACATATGATATTAAATATTTGCTCCTTTTCTATTATATGCTACTAAATATTAAATAGGTATGGTTGATATTATAATTGATGTAATATAGATATATTTGTAAGTAATTTTTGATAATATATAAATATAGGTGTTAGTATTATTGTAGATATTGATTATGTATATTTGTATATTATAGAATGTCAGTGTGATTTACGTATATCAACTGGTGAATGTGAAGAAGGTAGTGGTAGATGTTTATGTAGAATTGAGTTTGCTGGAGATAATTGTGATAGGTATTCTTATTTCTATATTAATGTTTACAATGCCTTGTGATAGTTATTCTTATTTCTATATTTGCTGTATTTTTATTTCTATATTTATTGTTTACAACACCTTATGATAGGTATTATTTCTATATTTACTGTTTAAAACAGTGTGTGATAGATATTCTTTAAAACACCTTGTGATAGCTATTTTTTTATTTCTATATTTGCTGTTTAAAACACCCTTTAAGATATGTAATGCTTGATTGACATGCAAGTTTTTCACCTGTCATTTCTCTTGGAAAAGAACTTGTTTGCAAGCTGGGTAATCTCGCCTTCTTGAGGGTTACATTTACCTTTGAGTTCAGAAATAGAAATTGTTACTGCCGTAATTTAAAGTTGTAACAAGTTTTGAAAATGTGACATCAAACAAACACATAATTAATTTAAGTCTGGTGTTGTATAATTAAATATTTATATTATAGGTGTAATGTTGGTTACTATGCATACCCTACCTGTAAACCATGTGATTGTAATATTAATGGTACTGATGGTGACATCTGCACAGTTGAAGGTGCTGGCCAGTGTCCTTGTAAACCAAATTATGTTGGTAAAAAATGTGATATGTGTGCATTTGGTTCTTGGAATTTCCCAGAATGCCAGCGTAAGTAGTCAAAACCTGTTCTATAATTCCTCAATTAACTTTATAGCTGAAATCTTCGACTTGGTGCTCATAAGATGACATTTTGGGACTGAGATCACTTTGGACTCAGTAATGTCAAAGAATATAGATTAATAACTATTTTTTTAATTTTTTTGACAGCTGTATCGTGTAAAGACAAATGTTTTAGGTCAAAATCATATTGATTTAATGACATTATTCCTGTTTACCTTCTTTCAGCTTGTGAATGTAATAGTGTTGGTTCTCCTAGCACAACATGTAACGTAGAGACTGGACAATGTCGGTGTTCAACAAACTATGGTGGTCGAGATTGTGATCAATGTGCTGATGGTTTCTATGGTTACCCTAACTGTCAGTGTAAGTAAACATAAGTACAATTTGGGGAATTAAGCGATAAATGAAATATTTCGCTTTGTTTTGGAATAAAGTTAAGCCTTGGTCATACTAGGTTATTTATATCCATGACATAATGTAATATTTCTAACTGCCGCAAACAATTTTGATTCAGTGACGGTAAGTGAACTATGTAATGTGAATATCAATGGCAGGAAGTGGCACAAACCCTGAAATAACTAGTTCCAATTGAGGTTGTACAACGATTATTAGAGTATATCCATGTGTATAAAATCATAGAAGAGATAGAGAGTGTGTTGGTATTTGGTTGTATCAATATGTTGTAGTCTATTTTGAATATTTTTTTCGATAGATTGTGATTGTGATGTAGCAGGTACAGAAGAAGGTGTATGTGATAAAACAACTGGTTCATGTTTATGTAAAGCTAATTATGCTGGATCAAGATGTGATAGATGTACTCCTGGTTACTATGGTTTCCCCAATTGCGTTGGTATGTTAATTTCACATAAATGAGATTATTTTGCGGTACAAAGATCTGCTGGAAAGACATAGGCCTACAAGTGTGATGTAAGGCTCTTGAAAATTGACAGAGTTGCAATCTTTAGTTGGCCAAACGGAGATTGCTATCTTCTTATAGTTGGCTATAGTTAGTACCTTGGCTATTTTCAGTCATGATTTATTTAAATTAATTTTTCAAACTGAAATAAGATTCTTTTTTGTTTTGGAGTGACCGATAATTTAACAAATTTCAAAGCAAATTTAGCTAATCTTAAGATTTTCATTAATATTTGAAAGAGAAATGATTTTATTTCAGAATGTCAGTGTGCTGAATCTGGTTCACGTAGTCCAATATGTCAGGTAGATGGCCAGTGTTCATGTAATAGGAATTATGGTGGTCAGAACTGTGACAGATGTTCTCCAGGTTTCTACAGATATCCAGAATGTGTCCGTAAGTTTATCTTATTTTAAATTGATCCTGTATTATCGTAACTATGTGAAAGAAAATTTAATGGGAATTATTTAGCTATGAAAATGCAACAAAAATTTGATTAGAGGTGTGTAAGACTCCAGGTATAATATACTCAATCAGAAGTGCTAGCTCAAAAATGATTTGGTTAAAATTCTCTGATATTGCATTGCACTTGATTCCATAGACCAAATGTAGGTTTACATTTGAAATTTTCCTATAATTTAAAAGTTTGCATCTTAATGCGCCGGAGTTCATAAAAGTAATAGTGATTCCAAAATATTGCCCATACATGTTGGTTCTTATTTATAATGTATATTTTAAAATTCAATTTTAATTGTGTATTAGCCATGCCTTAACTGATGGATTTATGAATTACAGCCTGTAACTGTGATTATTATGGAGCATATGGTGTAGCATGTAATCAGACAGTAGGACAATGTACATGTAGACAAAATTTTGAAGGTTTAACATGTGGAAAATGTATGGAAGGATTTTTCAACTATCCTGTCTGTGAAGGTATAGTATATTTATTAGAAAACATCAAACCACTTTAGGTTTAGTTTCATGGTACAACAGACCCAACAAAATGTAACCAGAGTCTAGAGCAAGAGTAGATATTTTGATAGATATTGTGAACCATACCATAAATTTAAATTCTGCTTTACAATATTATTATAGGTCTTAGCAAAACAATGTCCTAAACTGATAGACCACTGCTAAAGTTTACTTGTATAGTCCTGATATGATGAGAATGAATTGAGATTATCATGATAAGAAATACATATATTGATAGAAATTCATGAGGTGAAACTCCTGTAATTATAAATGATGTTTGAATTTTAGAATGTAATTGTAATCCTGATGGTGCCAAGGAGGTTCCTGGCTATCCTCTGGGAGGTTGTGGAGAGGTTATTAAAGGTCAACTATGTGAATGTAAAGAGCGTGTACAGGGTCGTATCTGTGATACATGTAAACCTGGTTATTACAGTCTTAATCGTAATAATCCTCTAGGATGTGAAGGTAAAATTATACTTTAATGTCAATATATCACAAGTTACACAATATGAAGAGTCCAGGGGAAGAACGATCTAAGTCACATTTTTGTCTTTTCGCATAAAAGGCAAAACAGATATTAGATGAGAATGCTTGACGCGAACAGGAGGTTCCTGGCTATCCTCTGGGAGGTTGTGGAGAGGTTATTAAAGGTCAACTATGTGAATGTAAAGAGCGTGTACAGGGTCGTATCTGTGATACATGTAAACCTGGTTATTACAGTCTTAATCGTAATAATCCTCTAGGATGTGAAGGTAAAATTATACTTTAATGTCAATATATCACAAGTTACACAATATGAAGAGTCCAGGGGAAGAACGATCTAAGTCACATTTTTGTCTTTTCGCATAAAAGGCAAAACAGATATTAGATGAGAATGCTTGACGCGAACAGAACAACGAGTGGGTTTAGTTACAACTTCAAACTGATGTTTAATACGAATCATAATTACCAGTACAACAACTGACTTCCACTTTTCAGCCAAATTAAGGTCAAATAAATACTATGGACTTGTATTTGACTGGGAGGCCATTTCAGAAGGGCCTTGGTTTGATGTGACTTCGATTGTTTTTACCTGAAATTGATTGTTCCACAGAAAGCTTATACAATTTGCTACCAGATGGCGCCATTAACTGGGGTTCGTTGAAAAAGTGACTTAGATCTTTCTTCCCTGGGGCTCTTGTATATAATCATGGACAGTTATGATGCAGTGAGATAGGGATTAGCTGTTGAACTTTGACCTGTGACAACTCAAATTATTTTCATAAATGACTGGTAGTGATGGCGATGTGGTTATAACACTGCACTTACATGTAGAATATGCCTAGTTTAATTAGCTATGTTTTGATTTTTTGACTGTGTCATATATTTTCATGCTATGTTTATATTTTAGAATGTCGTTGTCATAAACCTGGTACTGTATCTGGTGATAATATATGTGATGTCAACACTGGTCAGTGTGTCTGTAAAACTGACGTTACTGGACAGAATTGTCAGGAATGTGCAGATGGTACCTACAACTTACAGGCTATTAATCCATTTGGTTGCCAAGGTAATTTGCTGCAATATTTAGATATTTATTGTGTTGTGTGAGGGGACAGGGTCAACAATTTTTTCTAGAACACCCGATTACATTTCTTTTATTTGAAAAGTTAACAGATATATAACAATTTTCATTTACAGTTTTGTATTATAGACTTTTCCAAATCTAAAGGTATGAAATAGAAGACATATCTTTAACACTTTCACTTCTAAATACGTAGATCTCCGTTTTGTGACGTCTCAATATACAGATGTTTTGTTGCGTAAATAGGGAGTATAGGGGGTATGCCCCTGTTAGTTACTAAAGATATAGAGTGCCAGTTAATATTTTTGTGCACAGATTTTCTAAATTTATTATCAAGATATCATTGTTTACATAAAGAGAAATATTTGTCAGTCAACAAATGTTTTGAGTGAAATATTTGCTGATAATCACTCGGAATCGGATAGAGTTAGTTGTTGATGTAGCTGGGATTGTGATTTAGTCTAAGAAAATTACAGTGCTTGAGATTTTGCCATTTTCCAATGTCAACCTGGATCAAGCTGTATGCTTTAACAGGGATTGTCAAATAATTGTTGAAATGGAAATAGAAATTTAGATAATAAATGAATTCAAGATGATTGATAATAACAATGAACTGTACATATTAAATGATGAAAAAAAAATAAATAAACATCTTTGTTAAATATTGGTATTTTGCCGAAAAATGACAAGCATGTTAAGGAATATGTTTTCACAAAGACAAATAAGTGTCATTCCTGCTTATTGTTCATGCTCAGATTTTATTAATGAAGTTTAGGGAAAGAAGTTGAGAAATAACACACCTTCCAAAATATACATACCCATTACATGTAGTTTTAATATTAAATTATTCTTCTGACCAGATTGTCGATGTGATATGGGAGGTTCTCTAAGTTTAACTTGTAACAAGGTAACAGGACATTGTATCTGTAAACCAAGAGTAACAGGCATGAAATGTGAACAGTAAGTATTGACTTGCTTTATTTAAGCCTCTGTGCGTCATTTGTGTATTTTTTTGAAAACATCAAATTTTTGCACAGCTTAGTCCACAATATCAATTGCCGTCACCCCCGTCCGTCGGTGTGGCTCTAGAGGTTAAAGTTGATATCCGATTGACTGCACATTTATACACAGTGTTTAAGGTCATAAGACGAAAAACACTATTGATTTTCTCGATTCTCCGGTTGTACGTGACAAGGAGTAGGGTCGCCTGTCCAACCTCATGGGTTTTCTCTGGGTCCTCTGGCTTCCTTCCACTGCTAAAGACCCCTACGCTCAAGTGAATCATTGAAATAAAATTAAACCATGTGTTAGTCCCAAAATGACCTAGTTTGTGTCGAGTGGACGTTAAACCCTCTCCCTCTCTCTCTCTCTCTCTCTCTCTCTCTCTCTCTGAGTTATGGACCTTGATCACTTTGAAAAACCTTGTGGGCACTCTAGAGGCTAAAGTTAATATCCGATTAAATTTATACACAGTGTTTATGGTCATGAGACGAAGAAGCCTATTGATTTTCAACAATTTCTGATAATTACTGCCAAAGTTGTAGCCCTTGATCACTTTGAAAAGTCTTGTGGATGCTGCTCTAGAGGCTAGAGTTAATATCAGATTGACTTTAAATTTATACACAGTGTTTATGGTTAAGAGATAAACAAGCCTATTGATTTTCAATGAGTTCCGATAATTTCAGCAAAAGTTACAGCCCTTGATCACTTGAGATATCTTGTGGACGCACTAGAGGCTAATGTTAATATAAATGTATACACAGTGTTTACGGTCATGAGACAATCGAAACAAATTCTAATGATTTCTGATAATTACTTAATGGGTCGTTACTCGTAATCAAATTTTACTAACAAAAGGAAAAATGTGCGACAACCCTTGTTGACTGGCTGGATGACTTAGCTGCAGTGGGCATATGTTTCGTTGCTTGGAAACCTATCTTTCAACAACTTAATTCAATCTAAAATGTACTCAGATTGATTAAGAAAACAAAATCAAAATAGCAGCAGCAGCAAATCACCTGGCTTGGATTCAATCGGATTAAAAAGAGGACAATCAAAGGATTTTAGGTGTTTTTGTTGTTTTTTTGGGTTTTTTTTTTTACCATATCCCGTTTATTTTGACTGCAAAAGATGCCAAATGTTTTAACAAATTTTCTATTCATCATATCATTGTAGGAACTTAATGGAATTGAACCATTTTTGGATTGATATTGCTTTTAAAGATTTGACTTTCACAATGCAATGGGATTCCTCAATCCCTCATATGATTTTGAGACAACTAGAAAGTAATTCAATTTAAAGCCCCATTAAAAACAAAGACCATCTAGTGGTTACTATATTTGTAATGTATAAATTTTATTTACAGACCTATCAAGACTCATTTCTTCCCTGATCTACATCAGTATAAATATGAAATAGAAGATGGCATTACACCAGAGGGTAATACTATACGATATGGTTATGATGAGAGAATATTTCCTCGATATTCTTGGAGAGGTTACGCCATTCTCACGCAGTTACAGGTAAATAATGTCATTAAATTAGTTGTTAAGAAATTATGACTAATATAGTTTATTTTTGAAATATAAACCATATTCAATGTAAATTTCAATCTAAAAATTATTTTGTGTAGATATTTTTCTTACAGGTAATTATATTTTGAATTTTTTTTTTTCTATATTTTTTACTCTTTAATTTGTAGCCTGTAGTTCGACTAGATGTTGAAATCACCAAGCCTAGTTTGTTTAGAATGATCTACAGATATGTTAATCGTAACGCCAATTCTGTCAAAGGAACAATAACTCTGACACCAGAATCTACAAGAGAATCAGTTCAAACTAGTGAGGTTCATTTCGCTTCTACTCAAACTCCTGAATTTGTCAATGTTGGACCAGTTGGATCTGAAGCTACATTTGTACTGAATCCTGGTCGCTGGACAATTTCGACTTCATCTCCTGATATTCTGTTTTTGGTAAGTAATAAAATTGATATTATTTTGATAAGGTGATCCAAATGAATCAATTATACATTGAAACACAAATTTTCGCTTAAGAATTAGATTCATTAAACAGTGAATGCCTATAGACTATAAAAATATTAATGATATATACGAAGACAACAATGATTATGATTTGCATTCATAATATATGGACTATAATTTGTAATCATAAATGTGTAAATTATAGTAATTTATAATCATAAATGTGTAAATTATAGTAATTTATAATCATAAATGTGTAAATTATAGTAATTTGTAATCATAAATGCTTAGGTTATAATTTTAATCATAAATGAATAGATTTCAAGTTGTTATAATCCTAGAATCATAATAATTTTAAAATATATCTGCATAGTTGAGCTAGTGATGAATGCATTAATATGTAATTTGTAGAAATTTATATATCTATCTTGAATTTTAGGATTACTTTGTATTGATACCACAAGCTTACTATGAAGCTACTGTTATACAAGATAAAGTTATTAGACCATGTGCTATTCCTGCTAATGGTGAAGCGTAAGTTTTTGACATAATTCATAGCTAACTGTATTTGGTAGTAACCGTTTTGAACATTATTGTATAAAGAGAAGCTTGCATAATATTAGTAGAATCAATACAGAATCAGAATCCTTTAGAGGCATTTAGTAACTAAATAGAGTAATAAATTATAACAAATACTTATGGGAAAACAATTACTTAATTTAATTTGGTACGTTTTTAAGAGTAGTCTCTCAACGTTTTCAACAAGTATTTGTTTGAATGTTGAATAGGACATGTTATAAAGAGTTATTTAGCAGTATTTTTGTTTATTTATAGATGTTTACACTATGGTTACCCAGATTTAAAAGGTTATCCAACAATACGTGGAGATGCAGGTTATGTTGTCGTTGATCAACAGAGAGAAAGTATTGAAGGTTATCCTGATGAACAAGTGCTAAATGAACTAGGTGTGTCAGACCTCGGCCATCTCAGACCTAATCAGGTAAAAAACAATTAATCTTGATCCAAATATCTCACCTTTCTGATTTAAGATGCGTAGAGAAAAGAACAGGGGGATCCAACACCATCTAGAACATGCAACTGTGTGAGTTGACCATTAACAATCCTCTGTGTCAATCTCCTCTGAAGTTTAATTCCATTTTAATTCTTGTTTGAAGAAGTGGTGACTTGGGTAATTTAAGGGGCTGGCTCGTTACCCTAGAGATCATAGGTTGATTTAACTTTTAACTGAGAAAGTATCTCTGGTGTGGTTTCTCCTAGTCAATGCTACAGGAAAGAGGGCTTGGTAAGGAACAGCATCTAGGCCTTCAGATGGAATAAAAACTAAGGTCCGTTCTGTGTACTATAGCATGCATATAAAAGAACCCTTGACAGTTGGAAATTGAAATAGAAGTAGGCTATAACACCGCTAGATGGAGCAGAAAACTAGGATGTTATCCCCATTTCATTTTATTCTTGTTTAATTTTCAGACATTTTTCTACCTGGATTTAAGCGTACCATTTCCTGGTGATTATGTGCTTGTATTGAATTATTATAATCCTGATGATCAACAACATGATTTAACAGTAGATATAGCGTCTATTGATGGTAGAACTAATGCTATAGTTAACTTGTTTAAATGTCAATTCAGGTAAATTATATTGCTTCAATTTTATCTCTAAAACTGCCTTTGATTTACTAAGGGAGAAATTTCTAGATCCATCCTTGATACAGAATCACTTTTTATCACTTTTTAATTCTTATTCATTTAATATTTATATCTTGATCACATTGCATAAGTGATCTAGCTCTTTGTCAAACAACCTTAACATATTTTACTGAAAACATGCATGATTCTATTGACAATAATCTCCTTTGTGGAGCAATAGTTTTTGACTTTAAAAAAAAAAGTGTTCAACTTAGTTCTTATTGACAAATGTAAACATTTAAAATTTTCTAGAAAATCAATTCTCTTTTTAGAATCGGACTTAAAAAACAGAAGTCAGTACATGTTTGTTAATGGCAAATTATCCAATAATAAACCTTTTTATCACGGTGTACCCCAAGGATCAATATTGGGACCCATATTATTTAATATATTTATAAATGATTTAACTTTATACCGTACCTATCCTCTAAAACTGACCTCTGATGAAATAACAGTCTACACTTCTGTGTCTACTGTCAAAGATGCCAATATAATGTATGGGGAAAAATTATGCTGATCATCACGCAACAAAAAATAAATTTTCTCTCTGCTACTTGAAATATTATATTACGTAATGAATAATTAGAATTCGTCTCCTCAGTGAAACTTTTGGGTGTTTTTCTTTTTCTCAATCATAATCTAACTTGGAAAGATCATATATAGTATATTTCTAAAAAATTAAGCCACAAACTATATCAACTACGTCAAATTAAAAAAATATCTTCCAGCTCTATTCCAGATCCCTTTCTACAATGCCTATTTTCAACCACATACAGATTATTGTTATCCAATATGGCTTTAAAATTAATTCTAGATGTAAAGCACACTGCCAAAGTATACACTGGAGTAGACAAATTGAAATATCTCTAATAGTCTAATCAATGAATTTTTATCTAAAAAATTCTGCTAAAGCCCTGATTACTGATTTGACCTCTCACCTTATTATCAAACTTCTTATAAACAATAACTTATTACCATACTCTCAGGCCAAATATATAGACTATAAAGGACTCAAACTCTGTAATTCGTTGCAACCCTCTTTTAAAGCTTTAACTTGAATCTTTCCAGGAAAAAACTTCTTCTTTACCTTAAATCTACTTTAAATATATCATATCTTAAACTATTTGATTTTTCTTTTTCTTTTTCTATAACATTTCTTCTATATATCTCTTATATATATGTTAATACATGTTATATCTATGTATTCAAACTTATGACCTGCATATATACTGTATTTAATTTTTTAACTGCTTTTGTATATTTTTTTCCTTCTCTATTGTAAATTATTGTGGTATGTTAATTAATTTATCATGCTATATCTTTTGTATTATATTTTCTATGAAAGGCAGGATGTAAGGAAGGCTATTAGAGTCTAATCTTCAACCCTTCTTAAATTAAGTCATTATTATTATAATTAAAAAATTATGAGTTATCTTAAATTGAATTACCGAAGAAGACTGATAGACCCACATGTTCTTTAGAATATTGTAATTTGCAAGTATCTGTATTGGCATGGTTTAAATTTAAAGATTTCTTGGAAGATAAACAAAGGAAATGTCTGACTTTACTTTAATGCTGTGTAATTTGTAAATAACTGAAAATTACCCCATCTTTACTGTTGGAAGTAGGGCGTGCTTAATTTGCTTCACTCCAAATTTGCAAAAATCACAGATTTATGCATCCACATGTGTATATTTTTGGATTCCTTATTTTCAGTACGTTATGTCGTCAAGTATTTAAAACTGAAGATGGTATGGTTGGTGTATTTAATATCAGTTCAGGAAGAGTTTCTCTAACTTTACGTGGTGACGAAAATATCAATATTGGTGTTGTAAGTATTCACAGTTTCATTTTCTGACAATTAACTTTTCAACTCTGCTTTCTTAAAAATCCAATGTTGGTTTTATATATAAGGCTTGTTCTGATAAAATATGGATTATCATTGTTTTTTAGGAGTCTGTTTCTGCCATTCCTATTGAAGACTGGAATCCTGGCTTCATTCAACCAAGAATTATTTGTATACGAGTCAATGGCTAGTAAGTAATTTGCTAAACCTGTTAATTATATCTTGACAAATGCTTGTCTTTTAGTTGCTGTTTGTTCCTGTGACATTTGCACATGGATTAACAGACTTCAGACTCGATGTCATGTTTTGTTCCTGGTCCATAGTATGCTCGAAGTATCATTAACATCATTTATCATTGCTACTAAATAGTTTGTGAGTAAATGTTTTATTTCTTTTATAGTTGTGCACCATCTACATACACCAATCCCGGTGGAGCTGTTAGAATAGAGTTTGAACAGGCACCAAATGAACATCGTCTAGCTACAGATTTCCCACCAGGAATGTTAGATAACAATGTTGGTCTTGTTAAACTCAACTTGAGTGATGTAAGTATATCTATCACTGAAAATAAAATCTTACAATGTAAACTAAATAGTTAATTCGTGGTATTTTAGGAACAGCATCAATTATTTTTTGATGAAAATGCAAAAAAATAAAGTGATCAGACAGAAACATAAGATTTACAAAGATTAAAAATGATAAAAGAATTTTCTCAATCCTTGTATAATATTTCATGAAGTGTGTTTTAAAAGTAAAGTAATACGATTTTAACGTCTTGCGTCCTACACTGGGAGTCGCTCGATGACATACAATTCATTACCATTGTCTCTAGACATATAGATTCGTTATAAACAATTTCAGCAATGCATTAGATTTACCCTGCACTAACAGTTAATTAATGAATGTAATATGATTCATTGATAGTTAAGTTCCATCATGCAAACATGTGGTTACTAATGAAGCTCTCTAACCATTGTGCTCATTTCCCTCTGTAACATTAATCTATATTGTGTATGTTTATATTGTGATTGTTTTTATATTTCAGCCTAGTATAGAAGTAGAAGGTGTTGTACGAACACCCAGTCAACATGTATTTTTAATACAATATTATCAACCTAATAGTGTAGGAATAGATGTACCAGTTACAGTATATGTCGGTGGACAGCCAATAAAAGGTTAGAATAGAAAACTATTGCTGCTAAATGAATTTGGTTCATTCCTATTCTATAATGAATTACTTTATTTTTGTTACTGTTCTATGTAAAATTGGGTCTAATTAAAATCAGATTTAATAATAACAAGATGTTTTTAACCTTGATCAGTCAACTGATCAAATGTAATTATTGATTGGTAGGTTGATCTGGAGTTGACCAGGGTGTTGGATGGCCGAATGGTTAGCACGTGCGTGCTGTATCATAAGGCCTATCATTGAGTCAACTGACGTGGTTTCGAATCCCCGGTTGTACGTGACAAGGAGTAGGGTTGCCTGCCCAACCTCGTGGGTTTTCTCTGGGTCCTCCGGTTTCCTCCCACTGCTAAAGACCCCTACGCGCCAGGGAATTATTGAAATATTATACATTGTACAGAATGTCTTCTGTCAAAAAAAATTACTTTAAGTCAAATTGAATTGGAGATAAGAAAAGAAAAAATGAAATGTTGATATAATTTTAATTTGACTCTATTTAATTGTGTCACCCATTGTCAGATCTACATGGAATTAATTGACGAATGATTCAATGCAGTTGTTCAGTTCTCATATGTTCCGATTGTGAAGTTTTCCATTCGTAATGGTTTATGATTTGTACTTCAGGTATTTTCCACTCTACGTATTGTCCGAGTGTCACTGGGTGTCGAGGAACAGTGAGATTTGATGAAGTATCTAGTGAGATTTTATCATTAAAAGATACTAATGTAAGACTTGTGGTTAATAATACAGAGGATACTGATCTTTGGTTGGTAAGTACAGTCTACAGATAAATAAACAAAACATAAACTGGAATTCTGATTTTAAATTTAATTCCCAATTTCAATATTGGTGATGTAAAGGAATGGTGATGAAATGTGAATATTCAGTACATTTACTGAACTTGTTGATTTATTAAAATATTTTTATATTTTTTGTAGGATTATGTTCTACTTGTACCAGCTGGTAACTATAGATTAACTGATTTAGATCTTAATCCTATTGATAAGTCTGCTAACTTCCTCCAAAGATGTGTTAATGAAGGATTTGAATTGAGGTAAAAGAAAAATGTCCTATGAAATTATCAAATTTGTATCTTTTACTTGTAGATTATCACAAATTTCTGTCATTGTCATTATGACAAAAGAAAAAATATCTTGCTAGTTTCTGTCATGGTCGGGGGGTTGGATGGCTGAATTGTTAGCATGTGCACACTGTATCATAAAGTCTGTCATTGAGTCAACTGGTGTGGTTTTGAATCCCCGGTTGTATGTGACAAGGAGTAGGGTCGCCTGTCCAACCTCGTGGGTTTTCTCCGGGTCCTTCGGTTTCCTCCCACTGCTAAAAACCCCTACGCATAAGCAAATTATTGAAATAAAATTAAACCATATGTTAGTCCCGAAATGACCTACTTTGTGTCGAGTGGACGTTAAACTCCATTTCTCTCTCTCTCTGTTTCATGGTCACTTTAAGATCAAAATGACTCGCATGTTTCTGTAATTGTCATCAGAGTGTTAATTAGGTCACACAATTTAGGCCCCTGCCCCCATAACCCCCATTCTTCCTCCCTGCAATGACTGTAAAGTTTATAACCACCATGAATAGATTTTATTCAGATGGTAATAAATCAGTTAACTGTATTTTGTGTGTAAATCAGTAAAATGTGAGCCATTTGACTGTTGTGGTTGAGATCAGAGACTGCATAAAGAAAACAAAAAAAGACAACTTGACAATAAAACTTATCTTGTATTCATTGTAGATGGAAGTGTAATTACAATCCATACTCTCAAAGGTGTAAATGCATTATTAAAGTTGTAGTAATTTTATAGGTTTGAAGATAAGGAATGTCGTGAGGGAGCCTTCACTTTAACAACAGAATTTAATAATGGTGCTCTATCATGTGATTGTAATCTTGATGGTTCATTGAGTTTTAATTGTGATTCTTTTGGTGGTCAATGTCAGTGTCGACCTAATGTTATTGGCAGAAAGTGTACAGCTTGTCAGCCTGGTTACCATGGTTTCCCTAGATGTCAAGGTCAGTCAGTAATTCTGTAAATTTAGTAAGTAAGGATCTTAGATTTTCAGAGCTAGGATGATATTGAAAAACACGATAGTTGCCCATCTGTTGCATAAATAATATATTATGCCATCCACCTACAGGGGCAAACAAATTAAAATGTTTCTTTTATTATTTAAATAGGGTAGTTTCATGGATAAAACTTTTATTTCTAAAAAAATTTCTCTGCAAAATGATGTCGAATCGGCGGTTAATTGAATTTTCTTGTCATCTTTGTTGCAAGGTCTCATACCCACATTTAGCATTTAGAACATTCTCAGACCTTTTCAGCACTGTTTTGTTTTAACCATATATTTATCTTATGTCCACTGTCTGTTTATTTCTTTGAGTCAATGAACAAACTGTCTTATGGCAATGTATTTATTATAGAATGTAATTGTCCGTTTGGTTTATGTCATCCTTTAACTGGTCAATGTACGTGTCCACCTCGAGTTACTGGTGAGAGATGTGATAGATGTAGAGATGAAACATACGGTTATGATGCTCTCATTGGTTGTCAAGTAAGTTCTGAATATTTCAATTCACTCAGTAGTCTACAGACAATATATACTGATATAATGTCTGTTTCTGTATTACACATTCAGTTTCAAGCTGGGTTTAAAGTTTCAAATGAATATCTAAGTTTTCACTGTTTAATCCATATTAAAATGTAGTCTAACAATTAATAATGTTTAATAAATAAAATATTAAGGACAGAAAATCTCACAGCTTGGATTTAGTCAGATTAAAAAATACCTATCAAAATTTTACCCAACACTGTAGGTGGCTCTGGCTTATTTATGTTTAAGAATGTCTATAATATTTTATTGTAGGAATGTGAATGTAATCAACAGGGCGTGATTGCTGAAGATCTAAATTGTGATGATAATACAGGTCAATGCAGGTATAGATGAATATAATTGTTTAATCTGTATTTGCATTGTAATCATTTACTTCAACAGTGGGTTCGATTGAATGAGTACTAGTTAAAATGGTGATCATAATGATACTGAAACTTTAATTATTTTGTCACAGCTTCTTAATATCTTCTACATACTAGAAAATCTAAATGAGGAAACTGTTTTTCAGATGTCAAGCGAATATTGGAGGTAGAAAGTGTGATACATGTTTTGCTGGCTACTATATATTTCCACTGTGTCGTGAGTGTGACTGTGATAGACGTGGTACTACTAGCGATATCTGTGATCAGAGAACATCTCAATGTTTCTGTAAGGTAAGATAAAGTGGCTTTTCACCTGAACAGAAATAACAATTTGATTTAGTTATGATAAAGTGATATATATTATGTTCTGCAGGTAGAATAACACAATTCTGTAAATAAAAGATTGATTTGAAGTTAATTACCAGAATATTCAGTGATAACTTTGAATTTAACCAGTGGTTAGGACACTGGTATTAAGGTTTAAAGCAAGGTTTTGATTCCAGACTGGGGACACTGAAACCTTAAGGATTTTTCATACCTATATCTCACTTGTTAGGGAAACAGTCATATGGATGGATGAACAACCTGAGATTCTGTATTAAAACTGGGGATTCAAGGAAAAGTATGCAAAATTCTCCTGTGTTTGCATATTCTATCACTGAAATATTTAAAATGACTGTGTTAGTCTGAGAATCACCAAAGTATGTATTGAAACTCCATCCTTTACTTTGTCTTGATTCCGTCAACCATGAAACAGTTAAAGTAATTTCAATCCTCCTACAAAGTACATTGATTTTCTTTCTTCTCTTTTAGGAAAATGCAGCAGGAGATAGATGTGATGTTTGTGCAGATGACACGTATTTCCTGGATGAGAGAAACCCTGTTGGCTGTACTAAATGTTTCTGTTTTGGTACCACCACTAGATGTGATAGCTCAGGCCTCTTCTGGCAGAATGTATGTTCATTTATTTTAAATCTGACTTTCAGTTTATTCCGCATACAATGCTAAGAAAGCGAAATTGACTATAGGAGTTAGAGAGAGAGAAATGGGGTTTAACGTCCACCCCGCAGAAACTAGGTCATTTCGGGACTAACATATGCTTTAATTTTATTTCAACAATTCGCTTGCGCGTTAGAGTCTTTAGCAGTGGGAGGAAACCGGAGGACCCGGAGAAAACCGACGAGGTTAGACAGGCGACCCTACTCCTTGTCATGTACAACCGGGGATTCGAAACCACGCCAGTTGACTCAATGACAGGTCTTATGATACAGCGCGTACGTGCTAACCACTCGACCATCCCCCTATACAAGTTAGAAACAATAAGAAAATGTAGATCAGTAGAAATTGAGAAATATCCTGGAAAGAAATTTATTTTAGAATTAGATGACACCAGTTTGAATTTTTGTACTTCGGCATCACCTATTAAGATTTTAAACAAAACATTTTTCATGAAAGTCAAATAGCTATTTATTTATTTATCTAGACCCCAAAGTACTATAAATTCAATTGCTTTGATCTTAGAATGAAATTGTTCACATGTCTCATTTGAAAATACTTGAGATGCTTTTGTAACAAAGCTAAATTTATTTTTTTTAGTTCAGGGATATGATAGGTTGGTCTGTTACTAATACTTTAAATGGTTCAATTATTGAAGCTGGCAAGACCATAGCTGTTAATGCCAAGAATAATATAGCTGATACTACCCAAGCCTTATACTGGGTAACACCAACATCTTATCTTGGAAACAGAGTAAGTTATATTTACAAAATTATCATGGCATACAACTTCTCTTTAGTGACAAATAGCATTGGATGTACTGGAAGGAGCAAAGATCCTCTACCTCTAAATATCGAGCTACAAGTCAAATACAAATGTAAACATATTGACTTGAAATAAACATGGGAATTTCAACATACAAGGGAATATACATGGGAATAACATGAAATTTACTTGGGAGTAATAACATGAGACATACCTGGGAGTAATAACATGAGACATACCTGGGAGTAATAACATGAGACATACATGGGAGTAATAACATGACATATACATGGGAGTAATAACATGACATACATGGGAGTAATAACGTAAGATATAAATGGGAGTAATAACATAATATATTTGTGGGAATTTTAACACAAGATATACATTGGAAATGGGAGTATTAACATGATATATAGATAGGAATTATAACATAAAATATACATTGGAGAAATAACATGGATTATAGATGGAAATATAATTGGACATTTTAATTAACATAAGATATACATGGGAATGTTAACATGAGCTATACATAAAAATAATTACATGGAATATTTGAAAAGATTTCCATAATATAATGTTATTTATTTTATTAGTTAACATCTCATGGAGGTAAATTAAAGTACACAGTATTATTCACTCTGCCACGTGAAAACCCAGAAGAGTCATTGGGTCTTATTAAACCAGATGTCATTATCATCGTAAGTACAAACATTTATATTTATTCACAATAAATTATTGAAGTTTTAATTGGATTAAAAGAGCCACATCAATAGATTTCATTCAACACTTGGATGTGCATAGGCTTGTTTATATCGTATGCACCATATGCCGAATGGTGCCAAATTTTCAATTCATCATATCTTTGTAAATACTGAACAGAAATGTTTGCACAAATATATGTTTTAATTCTGATGTTTTATTTATATTTGAAGGGTAATAACATGTCTATAGAAAGTTATCAAGATATACAACCTACTGCTAATGTACAGACTGATATGGAACTCACTTTACTTCGTGTAAGTTTACTGTATTTTCGTAACTGCCTGCCTGAAATCTCTTTAGTTGAGTTATTTTATGTATTACAGATAAAGTTCCAGAAAATTTTTTGTACAGGTTCTAAAACGCTCACAAAGGAGCAATATTTCAGACCAATACAAGTACCTTTTGCAGGATTTGTATTCTCGTGGCTATTTTTAGAAATTGTGTTTTGGTCTTTTTTTCAACACCATTTTGTTGATTCATGAAGTGGCTAACAGCTTTGTTATATTTTTAGAATTCATGTCTTGGGTTTTTTTTAGCAAAATTTTGTTGTTTCATCAAGTGGAGATGAAGTAACACAAGCCCAGTTTATGTTGATATTAGTTAATATTCAAGCTATACATATCCGTGCTTCTTACTATACAATTATTGATGAAGGAAGGTATGATATATTATAATCATTGTATTATTACTACAATATGGAATACTACCCTCCTAAATTATCAGTTATAGGAGAAATTATTGACTGGTGACAATGCCAATATCTCGACCAAATACAACCCTGTTCCCTTGTATGGTTTCATTTGAGTTTCTGAATATCCCTACCTCAGGACCCCCTAGAAATCTTTCACCTGTGGTGCACGGCTTTGGGTGATGCCCCTCATATTAGGGGCCTATGCATCAGTTGGTCTCATTTTTGCTAAACACCCCCCCACCCCCACCACAAAAACAAAATTGATATGTACACCTCTGATCCATCTGAATAGCAGCTCTGTTACATCAGTTTCTTTCTTTCTGGTTTTATAACAGATCTTTCTACACATTTCTCATGCTGGCTTAATTTATTTTTTATGCCATTGTTGACCTAAAAATTCTGCGTACAGCATTCAGATTTGTGAGCCACGATGGCTAAGTGAGGAAGACGCTGGCTCGCTAGCCTGAATGTCACATTTTTGATCCCTGTGTTATTCGAGAAAATCCATCAAGATTTTCTGCCGTGGTTTACCTTGTCAGTGGTGCAGGACGTAGGGCCTGACAAGGACAGCTGTCTAGTTGTTCGGATGGGACAGAAAAACAAGGACCTGTGTATACATTGGCGTGCACATAAAAGATCCCCTGGCAAAATTTCCCTCATAGCATACTGTATGGCATATGCCCATCTTCATTAACCCAGTCGGAGCAGAACAGTAGGACATTGAACCCCATTCAGATTTCCCATCATTTATTTCTTGTCAAGGAATTCTTTTCACAAATGTTTTGTCTACAATGGCATGTCATGCATAAAAATTCTCTCTTGCCTTCTCATGATTACATGACGCTCTTTATATAAAGCGTCACCCATAAAAGTGATTTACTTGGGTGATAATGATAGAAGATAATTATATATCATATGTAGTGTAGATTGTCTGTAATGTTATATTTAACAGATGTGATGTTATATTTAACAGATGTGATGTTATATTTGTAGATTAACAGATGTGATTTTAGAAGTAGCAGCAGCTGATGGAACTGGTGATCGAGCTAATAACGTTGAACAATGTCAATGTCCTCCAAATTACCAGGGAACATCTTGTGAGGTTAGTAACAACAATTTTACTTATTTTCTTTCAGATTTACAATTTTCAAGGACATTTTTTCACTATTTCAAAAACTGTTTTCCAGCTATGACCGATCTTTTTTTTTCATGTAAAATCTTAAATTTGTTAATGAACTAGATTCACGATACGAATTCATTGAAGCCAGATGGACTAGAATCTGTATATTTTATTACAGGAGTGTGCACCAGGTCATTTCCGATCTTTGAGTACACCATATTTGGGTATTTGTGTACCATGTGACTGTAATGGACATGCTGAATCATGCGATCCATACACAGGAGAATGTTTTGTAAGTATAGAAAGTTACATGATAAATCAATTTCCAATAAAGGTTTCATTTAACTTTAAAAATATAAAATCACATTGATCGGAAACAAATTAGTTAGACTTGCTATAAAGGTTTATTCAATAAGTAATTTAGAATTAAAGTGCATGTCTTAACATTCTGTGGAGGAAATATCTAGAAAATTGATTGAATGATAATGTTTTTGTTTCTTTTGATTTAGAACTGTCAAGACAATACCTATGGAACCAATTGTGAAATGTGTTGGGCAGGTCACTATGGTGATCCTGCTTCAGGTCCGTGTCAAATGTGTGCCTGTCCTTTAGCTGTACAATCAAACAAGTAAGTGTCAGAATTTGTTTTGATGAGTTTTCCAACAAAAAAGTGGTGCAAGAATGAAGCTAGTCTAGAAATTCACAGGAATCACAGAATATAGTCCCACAAAGAATTTAGCAGACCTTTGTAACATCTGAATTATTTGCAAAGTATTAACCAGGGGTCTTAATCCATTTTGAAATGAACCGGCCACGGTTAGGCCTAACGGATAGTCGTCTTTTCAACAACAAACATGTTAGTTTATGCATACTCTATTCACGACAGTAATTGCATAATCCACTAATTGCATAATGTATTTGGGATAATAATAGCTGAAACTCTGTATAAACAAGACCTTTGTAATTGCATACTTGTATTCATACATCGCTATAATATCGACATTTATAGTCATATTATTATTTCAGCAACTTGCATTGCATATTCCTACTTTTGGTTTCATCCAACTAAATGGAAGTAATAAATTAGTAAAAACTACAAGTACATACAAATGTTTTTTTAAATTATTTTATTCGTAAGCACATGTTAATATATATAAAAATAACAAAGTATATAAGTATATAAATAACAAAGTAGCACAAATCGGTTTCCGTGTATAGTCGGAACTCGGAAATATGCTGTACGGGCGAAATGTCACGTGGCCAATTGTCGTGATTCCGATTAGTTTATTTTTAGCGTTACCTGTATACAATTGTCGGGATTTAATGCAGCAGGACTAGTTCGGATATCTGAGAGGATCTCTTCCTCAATTTCACTGGATATTAAAGAAATAAATTCACCACAAGAATTAAAATCACGATATAATTTTTTTGTCATTTCATGTCCCTGCTGTTCTGTCAAATCGTTCAATTATTGTTCTATGGCAATGTTTCTTTTTGCTATGAAATATGCATTTCGGATTAACGCCCAGTTTGAAACAATTTCTATAGATTTGGGAATTAAACTCTTCGTTCTGTCATCGTCTTTCTTTGCTGCGCAGGTATGATCGTCAGATTAATACAGTCTTTCATTTGACGATAATTTGGTTGACCTATATTGGACGTGGGAGGATCTCCGGCTTTTTGAACTTCCATTGACGACTTGCATGCTTGAAGTTCAAGGTCAACGTCGCCATCACTATCTTCAGTTAAACCTCGTTTACGTTTCCTGGTGTCATTCTGCGAGGTGTTCAAGTACTTGGCATGATTACCTCAATTAAGTTGTTTATTTATGAAATTAGCCGAAGGTATTAACTCTTTGATGGGTTTCTTAATCGCTGAGTAATAATTAACTCTTTGTAATCGGCCGAAAGTAGATTGATTTATGATACCATAGTGGGCGGTTCATTGTTTTAACAATCGGCCTGATAATTAATTCTTTGTAAATCGGCCGAAAGTAGATTGATTTGTGATACCTTAGTGGCCGGTTCATTGTTTTACCAATCGGCTAGATTAAAGATCAATCGGTTAAAGCCGACAAAAAACAGCCGATTAAGATCCCTGGTATTAACCTATTTTCCAAAAACCAACAAAATTGAATATATTAATGTTTGTTAATAACTTGAGTTGTTTAAGAACAATGAATTAGTCTTTAAATAGTCCTTTTGGATATAAAAACTGTTTTAGATTTTAATTCTTTTGTAGATTTCTTTAAGAAAAATCCCAGTGGATTCTAGTCAAAATCATCTGATCAGCATGCGATTTATCACTTAACAGGGTGGTTGAGTGCCAAATGGTTAACACGTACACGTTTGATCATAAGGTCTGTCATTGAGTCAAGTGGCATGGTTTCGTTCCACGCTTGTGCATGACAAGGAGTAGGCCAGGGTTGCTTGTCTAACCTACTGGGTTTTCTCCATGTCCTCCGGTTTTCCCCCACTGCTAAAGACCCCTACGCACAAGTGAATTATTGAAATAAAATTGAACCATATGTTAGTCCCGAAATGAACCAGTTTGTGTTGAGTGGATGTTAAAAGCCATTTCTCTCTATTACTTAACATATTTTAATTATATATTACAGTTTTGCTACAACTTGTTATATATCTGATGATGGTAGAACATCTAATTGTCAATGTCGGGATGGTTACTATGGGGATAATTGTGAGAGGTAAGAAATTATATCAATATTAAATTTGTGCATGTTCAGGAGGACCCCACCACACAAAACAATTAACTAGAAATTCACAGCTAAAAGATAAACATTGGGCTGACATTTGTGAAAGTAAAACAGAATTATTTGCTCTGTAACAAATTTATTCTTGATAACATTTACATTATGAATTCATTCTGAACTGATAATTATTCACTTTAACACATGTATTTTAGATGTGCTCCAGGTTACTATGGTGATCCCCGTACAGAAGGTGGTTATTGTCAGCCATGTGATTGTAGTGGTAATATAGAATTAACTAACTGGGGTGCATGTGATCAAACTACAGGTCAATGTCTCCAGTGTGTTAATAACACCATGGGAGAGAAATGTGAAATATGTCGAGATTGGTACTATGGTGATGCAGTATATAACAAAGATTGTGATCGTAAGTAATTCTATGTCAATCTCATATAGCTGCAATGACGTGCTAAATTCTTTATTTCTGAAATAGAAAGAAAAGAAATATAATTCTTGAATTCAGAAAATTTTACTTGATTATCTAATACTGATATTATGATACAGATATAAAAGTTTGAAAATGTTTGTAAGCTATATGAATTCTCATCAAATAAAAAAGTGGCATATTTGGTTCTAGAAAGAGTAAACTTAATTTGCATCTATGATTTATGACAGGTTGTACATGTATTTATTGTAGTTGTGATATAATATTACACAGGTTGTACATGTGTTTATTGTAGTTGTGATATTATATTACAGGTTGTACATGTAATTATAGTAGTTGTGATCTTATATACAGATTGTACATGTGATTATGGTAGTTGTGATCTTATATTACAGATTGCACATGTGATTATAGTAGTTGTGATATTATATTACAGGTTTCACATGTGATTATAGTAGTTGTGATATTATATTACAGGTTTCACATGTGATTATAGTAGTTGTGATATTATATTACAGGTTTCACATGTGATTATAGTAGTTGTGATATTATATTACAGGTTGTACATGTGATTATTGTGGATCTGACAATTGTGATAATTCAAATGGTGTTTGTTCCTGTAAACCCAATGTTGTTGGTGTTGATTGTAACCAATGTGCTGTAAGTATTTAACTATCTATTACTCTTGTGGTTGGTGAGAATTATGTTTTGGGAAAGTAAACCAACTGGAATTAGAATATCTTTTCATTTTTATACGGCCACATTGAAATGTGGTCGTATATTGTTGTTACCCCTGTCCGTCCGTCCGTCTCTCGGTCCGTCCGTCTCTCGGTCCGTCCGTCCGTCCGGCGTCCACAATTGCTTGTGGACGCTCTATAGGCTAAAGTTAATATCCAATTGACTTTAAATTTATACACAGTGTTTAAGGTCATAAGACGAAGAAGCCTATTGATTTATTAGTGATTTTTGATAATTACTGCCGGAATTATGGCCCTTGATCACTTCAAAATATCTTGTGGACGCTCTTGAGGTCAAAGTTTATACACAGTGTTTAAGGTCATGAGACGAAAAAGCCTATTGATTATCAACGATTTTCGATAATTATTGCCAGAGTTATGGCCCTTGATCACTTCAAAAAATCTTGTGGACGGTCTAGAGGTCAAAGTTAATATTCGATTGACTTTCAAATCTATACACAGTGTTTAAAGTCATGAGACGAAGAAGCCTCTTGATTATCAGCAATTTCTGATAATTACTGCCAGAGTTAAGGCCCTTGATCACTTTGAAAAATCTTGTGGACGCTCTAGAGGTCAAAGTTAATATCCGATTGACTACATTGAAATGTGTTTGTATATTGTCGTCGCCCCCGTCCGACAATTGTGGACGCTCTAGAGGCTAAAGTTAATATTCGATTGACTTTAAATTTATACACAGTGTTTAAGGTCTTGAGACAAACAATTATATTGATTTTCAATGAATCTTTATGACTTGAACAGCTAAATCCATGATGTTAAAAGTTTCGTATACTAAACGTTAGCATAGGGCAGAACTTTATAAAAACCAAACAAATTCTAATGGTTTTCTGATAATTACTTAATGAGTTGTTGTTACTCTTAATCAGATTTTAATGTATTATAAATGTTTCATTACCGAAAAAAGTAAAAATATGCGACAACTCTTGTTGACTGCCCGGACGATGTAGCTGCTGTGTGCGTATGTTTTGTTGCCTGGCAACCTATCTTTTTTGTTTGGAGCTACTAGGAGGTAGAGTTTAGAGTTATTTCCTTTGACACTCACAGTGACAAAACAAGACAGTTTATGGTTCAGTGTGTGTGTGTTATAATAAAAGATGGTGATTAAAGTGAAGACTGATGTTTGTGTCAAATATTATATTTTTTTTAAAATGTGAAATGTATCATTAAACCCAATTTTATTCTTATCCATAAGAGACTTCAATTGTTTCAATCCTCTGAAAACAATTAATTATCTATTATATAAGTTATTTCCAGTCAAACATCTAGTATCCAAAAGCTGAGCATAAAGGGGGAAATGACTTTCTTTTTCTAGCCCTATTCCTATGGATTTGAAGAATGTGCTGGATGTAGTCAATGTGAATGTGGTCAAGCATCTGAAACTCCACAGTGTGATATTTTAACTGGACAGTGTACATGTAAACCTAATGTACTGGGTAGAAAATGTGATCAATGTCAACATGGTTACTGGAATTATGGAAGCAATGGATGTGAGAGTAAGTGTTTACACCTCTACTTATTTTCACTAATTATTTAGTAGTGCTTGCATCAATATCATATATTTAAAGTCTTGAGTACATGATGAATTGACTGTTTTGTTTAATTCTGGTTCAGATGATGAAAATTATATTCTGTTTATTTAATTTTTTCTTATAATCTGTCTGACCTTTGTATATTAGGCAGTGCAACACAGTTTACCTTACATGACCCATTTAATGTTCTGTTTATTTTACTCTATTTTTTTTGTGTAGAATGTGCGTGTATGAACGGTGGAGCTATATCATGTGATGCTGTATCTGGTATATGTCAGTGTTTACCAGGTGTAACAGGTAGTCTATGTGATAGATGTTTAGATAGATGGGTATTGATACCAGAAATTGGCTGTCAAGGTAAGAAACACATTAATCATTTATTGCTGCCCACCTTTAGCACAAGCAGGAGTTTGTTAAATTGTATTCTTCCAACACATTCTGTTAAATCCAATAACTTGAATGCATTTTAATAAAACTTGGAATATATTTTTATTTTCCCAGTCACACACCTAAGTATGAACATCAATCTCATCTGTACATATTTAATTAGCATACTGCAAACTCATTGATTCTAACTCAGCTTACTCAAATTCTTTTGAATCAAAGATGTGAGATACTTAATTAGTTCTTTTGAAATATTTATAAATGAAATCTTTTTCAATACAAATCTGAGATAGTATATAACTTTTTAGATGAATTGATAAAAGTTAAATATTTAGAAAAAAAAAAAATTTGGAGAAGAGCTACTTTGTTCAAGAAATTATTGCTACATATTCATTTATTTATTTTTCTATTTTTAGAATGTGATAACTGTGTTCATATTTTGATTGATGATTTGGATGTATTTGATCGTAATGTTACTATTGTTAAACGACAATTGGCCTCGGTATCAGTAGGAGTGGGTGCCTTCATGAAGATTAATCAAATCAATGATACAGTACATATGTTGAGGGTAATTGTAAAGTTTTGAATTAAGTTTTGGAGAAGAGGCTTTTAGGCGATTTTGTTGTTTGATTTATGTATTCTAACAAATTGGACATGTTTGGAAATAATAGGACTGCTCATTGAACATATTGAAGATTTTGGGACAATCTGGTATTTCATCAAAATTTGCGATTTTAAGGAGGATAGTTGGAACTATGATTGTTACCGCAGATGAGTTTTAGATTAATTTATTATGATGATTATTTATTATTGTTTATTATTTATTATTATTCAGCCACAAGTTAAAAGTCTGTACTCAAGAACTGATGACGAAGCACTACCACCACTTAGAGATGGTTTACAAAAAGTATCTGAATCAGTAATGGACGCCTTTGATAGGGTAAGTAGAACCAAGGGCATTGTCATTGAACATTATGGAATTGAGTTCTCTCCATCCAACAAACAATGACAATTGAGTAAAACAGAGAAACAAATCAAGCATTAATTAATATCATCATCACTGTTGTGCACATCTCTTATCAGAACTGGCAAAACTGTGACATAATTTGATTCACCTGTTCTACCCAGCTATATCAGTTGGGCATCCTTAATAGACAAAAAACTGTAATTAAGCAGATAAGTTTAAGAAAAAATATCTTCATGAATCATGGGTGTACTTGTACGAAAAATATAGAATTTTTATACACCCACATTTCCATGTGGATGTATGATGTTGTCTCCCTCTCCGCCAGGTAGCAGTTCACATTTTGTTTGTGGATACTCTAAAGGTCACAATTTTTGTCCGATATTTACGAAACTTGGAATATAGGTTTATATCCTAATGGTCATGGTTCCTTGTTTTTATTGATGCATGTCGGACCGTAAGATCCTGGATTATGGCCTCTTTTATAGCTTTTCTGTTCTGTTATTATTATGTTTGTCTAAGAGAAATAAAGCAGTTATCCTTGATTAGATACTGCTTAACTTTTCCATTAGAGGCACTCAAATACTGCATGATCTTGGCCTCAAAACTCGTAAATAAATCTTTACAACCGTTCATTAGCTACCTGACAGTTGCCATCTAATTGATCGATATATCTATTATTTCCATCTAGTCTGAACGACTGAAAGGAGAAGCCAATGCTGTGGACGCTGATGCCAAATCTTTGCGTGATGAAGCTGTTGAATTAGAAATGTTAACAAGAAAAAACTCAGCTGAGGCTGATGGTATGTAAAAAAAAAGTTTACAATTATGATTTATTTTTTGAAAATTGTGCACTGAATCATGGCTTATCTGCAAAACTACAATTTTAATTTGAGACAGACAACCACATTGGAAGACATTAATTGAATTGCCACTTGATGTTTTTTGCCCAAATCAAAGAAATCTAGTCATTTCAAAACTTTCAACACAATTAGGCCATTTTCTGACTTACATACTGTAATTCTTTGAATACATCCATTGCATGTCAGCATATTAGCATTAAGGGGATGTTGGAGAAAATTCTTAAAATTAACAATATGGATGACAAACCATAGACCACTCAGCCCCTCTTGATATCCATCTTTTTTGGCAGAAGAATTATATTATTTTAATTCTTTTTAAACAGAGGCTATTGGAGAAATCAATGAAGTATTAAGACGAATGTTAGATCGTATTCAAGTATCTTATGTAGATGTTTATATAAATGAAGCCGAGTCCACGCTATCTAGAATTGAGGCTAGAGGGTTTGATGCACAGAATCAGAGCTGTCAAGTTGAAATAGCAGAAGCTGAACGAGGTAACAAAATTATCTTTATTGTTGATCAGATGAATTGGATTTAGATCTGTCAGTTATTCACGAAAGAAATTAACACATGAAATCTAATGTTTGTTTATAAATCTTAACATAGCTTTCTTGTGAACTGAATTACTTGCAATATTTTATTTATGCTAAAATGAAAACTGTTTTGTTTTTTTTTAGTGCAAAAGATGGCTCGTGATCTACAGACAACGGTAATTAAACAACTAAATGAAAGTAATATGGTTGCTGAGGCTGTTTATGATGTCAATGTTAGATTGGATGATTTACAAAACAGCAGTCGTTTCTCTCAATTTGAATCGAGTGAATCAATGGAGTTATTGAGGACATTACGAAACATCAACCTTGATAAATTGGAGGTAAATTAGTTATTGTAGAAAAATATGGGTTATTCTCCATGTTGATAAACTCGGAAATTTATGCTGCATTCTTTTGGTAATAGTATTTTAGGATAGGATAGGATTACACATAATATACGACTCTGTTGAACTTTTGTGTATGTAATTTTAGGTCATCCTATGTTGTCTAAAGAATTGTGCCGTTGATTTTACGTTAATAAGAGAAAGTTACAAGCCTAACCTCATATAAACAAAGTACTAAAATAAAGATTTCACTCTAATATTAAATACTGCTTTATTTCAGTTACTCAATATGGCTTTAAAATATGTACAATGCATGTTTTTCAATTGCTTTTTTAATGATAAAATACTGGATAATCATAAAATAACCTTGTTGGTTAATTTATAAGGTTATTTTATTTACAACAACCCTTGCTAATGCTGGAACATATGATTTTAGTTTAGATTGTCCAATATACTTTCAGAAATCTATAGAAGGTATTTTAACAGCTAGAGATGATTCTAATAATTTAGTAGATATGTCTCGTAAACTGTTGGATCAAGCTAGAGTTGCCATGGACAGCTGTCAAGAGATCTTCCTGGTAATTATTATTATTGTTTTGTAAAACACAGATGAATTATTTTAATATTTATTCTTAGGATTCATTATTGATAACTGTCTAATTAAAATTGAACTATTCCTTCATTTGTGTTTTGTATTTACATCTGTACAGTCTAAAAATGTCTTGAAAGGAAATGATCAGCATATTTCTATATTCTGACAATAGATAGATAACAATCAACTACTTTAAATTTTCTAGTTGCCTCTGTTGCCACGCTATATTAAATATTGCAAAGACAATTGTCTATACCAAAATATGGTTTAGTGTGGTCCCACGATCAGTGTATATTAATGAAGATATCCCTATTAAATTGGTAGACTGTGTATAAAAGGACGATGATGCATAGTCCAATCTATCTTGATGATTTTCGTGCCCTGTCTATTTTCAGCCTTCTGCTATACTTCTAGTTTTATGTCATTAATTTGTATAAAATACACTGACATAGATGTGTTTATAAAGCTGTCATCTTTTATTTTACTTACAGGAAATTGATAGAGAATCATCCAGACTAGAGTCTGGAGTAGAGGCATTGAGTATATTTGTTGAAGATTTGGAACAAGGGCTTTCTATGGTAGAGCCATTGTTAGGGAATGTCACACAGCATGCTGAAAATTTAGCTAACCAATCGGCACAACTAGACAGGTAGCATATATATTCTTATTATAAAGATAGGTTGCCAGGCAACGAAACATACGCCCACAGCAGCTAAATCGTCCGGGCAGTCAACAAGAGTTGTCGCATATTTTTAATTTTCGGTAATGAAACATTTATAATACACTAAAATCTGATTATAAATTTAAAGTCAATCGGATATTAACTTTGGCCTCTAGAGCGTCCACAAGATTTTTCAAAGTGACCAAGGGCCATAACTCTGGCAGTAATTATTGCAAATCGCTGAAAATCAAAAGGCTTCTTCGTCTCATGACCGTAAACATTGTGTATAAATTTAAAGTCAATCGGATATTAACTTTGAACTCTAGAGTGTCCACAAGATTTTTCAAAGTGATCAGGGGCCATAACTCTGGCAGTAATTATTGCAAATCGCTGAAAATAAAAAGGCTTCTTTGTCTCATGACCGTAAACACTGTGTATAAATTTAAAGTCAATCGGATATTAACTTTGACCTCTATAGTGTCCACAAGATTTTTCAAAGTGATCAAGGGCCATAACTCTGAAAATGAATAGGCTTCTTCGTCTCATGACCTTAAACACTGTGAATAAATTTAAAGTCAATCGGATATTAACTTTGGCCTCTAGAGCGTCCACAAGATTTTTCAAAGTGATCAAGGGCCGTAACTCTGAAAATCAATAGGCTTCTTCGTCTCATGACCTTAAACACTGTGTATAAATTTAAAGTCAATCGGATATTAACTTCAGCCTCTATAGTGTCCACAAGATTTTTCAAAGTGATCAAGGGCCATAACTGGCAGTAACAATCAATAGGCTTCTTCGTCTCATGACCTTAAACACTGTTCATGAATTTAAAGCCAATCGGATATTAACTTTGGCCTGCACCGTAGAGCGTCCACAAGATTTTTTGAAGTGATCAAGGGCCATAACTCTGGCAGTAATTATCGGAAATGGCTGAAAATCAATAGGCTTCTCCGTCTCATGACCTTAAACACTGTGTATAAATTTAAAGTCAATCGGATATTAACTTTGGCTTCTATAGCGTCCACAAGATTTTCAAAGTGATCAAGGGCCATAACTCTGGCAGTAATTATCGGAAATTGCTAAAATCAATAGGCTTCTTTGTCGCATGACCTTAAACACTGTGTATGAATTTAAAGTCAATCGGATATTAACTTTGACCTCTAGAGCGTCCACAAGATTTTTTGAAGTGATCAAGGGCCATAACTCTGGCAGTAATTATCGGAAATCGCTGAAATCAATAGGCTTCTTTGTCGCATGACCTTAAACACTGTGTATGAATTTAAAGTCAATCGGATATTAACTTTGACCTCTAGAGCGTCCACAAAATTTTTTGAAGTGATCAAGGGCCATAACTCTGGCAGTAATTATCGGAAATCGCTGAAAAACAAGAGGATTCTTCATCTCATGACCTTAAACACTGTGTAAAAATTTAAGATCAATCGGATATTAACTTTGGCCTCTAGAGCGTCCACAAGATTTTGTGAAGTGATCAAGGGCCATAACTCTGGCAGTAATAATCGGAAATCGCTGAAAAACAATAGGATTCTTCGTCTCATGACCTTAAACTCTGTGTATAAATTTAAAGTCAATCGGATATTAACTTTAGCCTCTAGAGCGTCCAAAAGCAATTGTGGACGCCGGACGGACCACAATATACGACCAAATTTAAATGTAGACGTATAAAAAGAGAACAAAATTTAATTAAAATCCATATACCTTTTTTAAAATTGTTCTCTTTTCTTGGAGTCATTAAAGGAAGATTATAGTCATGGGGGTGCCTAAAGCAAGGATCTGCCTCATCTACGATATCAATTAATTATGGAGGCAGACTGTATAAAATATACACCCTCCCAATATACTGTGATGTGTAATGGTGGCCCTTTCCCCCACACAATCAATTTACCTGAAAGTATATAATATGTGATTTCAGTTTGTACACCAATACTAGAGATACAGCAGCAAATGCTCTACAAGCAGCTAAAGCTTACACAGATATAGTTGATGCTATTAATAATGCTGAGAATGGTTCTGTTATGGCTGTAGATGAAGCTGAACAAGCATTAGATAAGGTAGAAACAGTCTTCAGTCTAAGATTTCAGTTTCGTTTACTTACTGAATTAAAAAAAAAAATATGAAACCTGAAAATCACTTGATTAATTATACGGCCGTGGATATATATATTATTGTCACTGTGTTCATTCTATCCAGCATTGCTCCACACTTCACATTATTCTCTGATTTTTTGTCTTCAAATTTTCAAGGCAGAATGGTATTAAAATTTAGAATTTTTCTATCATATTTTGGGTGCATTTGGGATGGAAAAAAAACAGATGGTCACTAGTATACACATTTTTATGAGCATAAAAGAAATGCGTCGGGTCGAAGTTCTCAAAGTTCATAATGTAATCTCAGAAATAAAAATGACGATCTGTTTGTCTCTTAAAAGAAACTATAATGAACTCGTTCCGAAGTTTTAATAAAAGCTCTGCATGATTTTAGAGTTAGCATAGAAGACTTTACTGCTGGTGGATGTATTGAAAAGCACCTAGGTTGTGATTTGACTTGTACTTTCAGTCTAGTGGTGTGGGAGATGCTACAGCTAAATCTAGAGAAAGCAGTGATACTCTATTGGCGTCTGCTAATAAGGAATACATTAAAACAGAAAAGGGTATGTTTGAAACACTTTGATTTTTGGTTTGAAAATTTTGGAGGGGAGCCACAGCCCACAGAGGTGGCTAAGTGGGTAAGACGCTGGCTCGCTAGCCTGGATGTCGTATGTTTGATCCCTGCATTGGCCAAGAAAGTTCATCCAGATTTTCTGGAGTGGTTTCCCCTTGTCAATGGGGCAGGATGGAGGGCCTGACAAGCACAGCTGTCTGGTCATTTGGATGTTATGAAACCGAGGTCCCGTGTATACATTAGCATGTACGTAAAAGATCTCTTGTCAGTTGGAATTCAATATAAGAGTAGGCCATAGTACCGCTGCCCCGACAAAATTTCCCTCATAGCACACTTTACGGCGTATGCCTGTCTTCATTAGCCCAGTCAGAGTAGGACGTTAAACCCCATTTCATTTTATTTTGAAAATTCTGGAATTCTATTCTCGTAAATCGACGGGCTAAGTGTCAATCATACAAAGGGGATCACTGGGCAACAAAGCATGTGCTAATGGAGTACTCACCTGATCAGCTCTACATTAAACATTGGTCACAGCACACACTTGGCCAGCATGACGATTCTCACAACTCACTGATGCTTGGAATTGATAAAACTATGGCAGCACCTTGTTTTGGAGTTTGTGCTCACGATGATTGTGCACCCACCACATTGAGTTTTATTGTATTTTTTATTTATGTCCACTTGACTTTGTCATTGTTTATGGAATGGAATAATTTTCTTAATTTGTAACTTGACTATTGCCTTTAAGAACTGGCTGCTCGTTTACAAGATGCTAAAGATCAAACAATGGAATTGATGAACTTGAATACTAAAGTAGAAAAAGATCTAGAAGATGTTCAAGAGATTATTGATAATTTACCATCTGGTAAGATCAATAAATAATGATGAAAATATATGTTATAATCCAACAGGTTTACTCAGCAATAATTTCCTGGGCTTCCCTGAGCTGCATGAAGATCTAACTACTACTTTATCAAGTGTTATTTTGGACCACGCCAAAGTGACTGTAGTGTGAATAACATTAAAATAAATGACAGTAAGACCTAATTGGATTTAGTCTTCAGAAAGCATTTACATGATTTCTTATTCAAAATAAATAGAAAAAATCACTTGCCAATACTGTACCAATAGAAAAACGTCTTTTAGCAAAAAATGCTACAAAGAGTAGAACAAACCCAGTATGTAATTGACAATTTGACACTAAAATGAAAGTTTCCTAGAAGATAAACACGATTTGAATTGAATTAATGCATTTGTATGGGAAGAGAATATCTATTTGCAATAAAAATATGATCTGATTTTTAGTTTATAAGGACTAATTGTCTTGATTACCGTATCATGTATGATAAAATACAAATGGTTGATGTCAGCACGTGACACTCAGGAGGTGTCCTTGGGCATTGAATGATTGAAGATCAACCTGCAACCAAGATCTTTGGCACTACAAAGTGAAAAATTTGGATGTATTACACGCCGATATCTTTTATACAGTTACTGTGTCGTAAACCTTCAAACCTTCTCTAAGGTATCCGCTCTAAAGACTTGAGTTAGTATGAACTCTATAAATTTATATAATATGTTGATTTCAGGAGATTTAGGAAGATCAAGTGTTGCTATTAATCAGGCAGATGAATCGTTGAATAAAGGCAAGAATGCTGAGAATCAGATTGTTAGTATCATTAATCAACTACCTGAAGATGAAAGAAAAATCAAAAAAATTCCAACAGATATTATAAAAGCTGATAGAGATATGTTGAAAACAAGAAATCAATGTGAGTTTTTACCTGGGTATGGTTTCACTTAGGCCTACAGTCTATATCTTATATCAGTTTGCACCCAGTGCTGTAAAAAAATATTGTGGTTCGACCGTACGTCTTCATTAGCCCAGTTGGAGCAGAACAGTATTATGATTAACTTCAATTTGTATGCGTCCGAAGCTCTTGAAATACAGTGTGTATCTCCTAAAGCTCATAAGATCTAATACACTCCTCTTAATCTCTCGAGATCTTGTGTGCTTCTCCTAATGTCCTGAGATCTGGACTCACAAGTCTTGCAAGGCCTGGTTACCATTTCAGAGATATGCACATCTTTAAATTGAACTTAAATTACAAGCCTAGGCTTTGACGAACATGTCATAGGTTGGATGACAGTTCTAGAAATAATCTGAGATATAGGGGAATTACCCTACTCTCCTAACCGGCTAAACTCGTGTTTAATCGAAATGCACATAGATTTTAATATGAATAATTTCATCTATTTATTTCAGTAAACACCATCAGAAATCTGTCACCAGATATGAATAATTTGATCAAATCTTTAGGAGAGCGATCTGGTAGATTAACCGATATTGGACGAACTATTTCAGCTAATGTAACACAACTTAAGGAGAAAATTGCTCTAGCTAGAGATGAAGCTAATAGGGTAAGTAGTAGTACCTGACTTATTATAGGCCTTTCTATATGTTTACTGTAAAAGTCCATCTGGGGTTACATTCGTATTAGATTGAAATGTCCAGTCGGTAATATTTAATTAATTACTGGTGTTATACGGAAATGCTAAAAGATTAAACTGCAGAAAGAAATGCAGTATGAACCTATTGTTAGTGTTCACTACGCAAGAACTTGTCTATATATGAAAAACATAATCTGGCTCAACCAGACTCACAGCTAAATCTGGTTAGGTGAGAATAGTAGACAGAGTCGCTACACAATTAACTTCTGATGTGTCTGATATTTACACTCAGTACTGAAGAATTTGCTGGAGATTTTGGTTCAACATTCCCTATAGGTGTAATCGTCAACTATACTATATCGATTATCCTTTTCTGCTACAAGGGGATCACGTGGCTAAGTGGGTAAGATGCTGGCTCGCTAACATGGAGGTCGGGTGTTCGATCCCTGCATTGGCCGAGAAAGTTCATCCAGATTTCCGGCGTGGTTCCTCCTTGTCAGTGATGCAGGACGGAGGGCCTGACAAGGACAGCTGTCTAGGACTTCGGATGAGATGAAAAACCGAGGTCCCGTGTATACATTAGAATGCACGTAAAAGATCCCTTGGCAGTTGGAATTCGATATAAGATTAGGCGATAGTGCTGCTGCCCGGGCAAAATTTCCCTCATAGCACACTGTATGGCGTATGCCCGTTTTCATTAGCCCAGCATAGGAGCAGAACAGTAGGACGTTAAACCCCATTTCATTTCATTTAATTTTCTGCTACGAGTTTAAATCATGTGCCGACAACTATCTTTAGTGAATCATATATTACTTACAGGTCGTCCAGTGACATATACACAGTTATTACAATTATAAAAAAAGTATACCATTATTCTTTATGATATCAGATACACAATACCGCTTTCATTGTTTGTAAGAGATAGTTTAGGTGTGGAACTTTTGCTTTTCTAATGGAATATTTTCTGTAACCATTTTATTTTATTTCTAGATTCGAGTTGGTTTGCGTTTCCTGTCCAATACAACTCTAACTGTACGTAATCCAGCTAGCATTGAACAAGCTGGTTCCTATAGTAAGGTCTCCTTCTATTTTCGTACAGATAATCTGAACGGTCTTTTGCTTTATTTGGGCGGTGATCAGAAATCGAGAAGACCAGAACCTGTAAGTATAAACTAATTTTCAGTTCCTCATCTTAACAAACTTAGCAGGATTAACAGAAATGTAATAAAATATGAAATTTTTTATTATTTAAATTAGTGCTAAGGTAATAAGAACATTGAATTCAATTTAAGAAAAATCATTCAGGGCACAAAACTGATGGCCTACATACAAATTGATAATATGCTTAATAAATGAAGATTAGGATAAAAAAATTTCCTATACAGACAAAGCTGCTCACTCACATAATCATTGAAAATTATCATGTGAATCTCAAAATCTTGAAACTCTAAGCCCACCAATATATATATTTCAGGATGATTATATTGCTCTAGAATTATTGAATGGTCAGATAGTGTTCAAATATAATCTGGGATCAGGTGCTGCTAGAATAGTTAGTCCACAGAGAGTTGATGATGGTATGTGGCATCAGGTAATAGCTGAGAGGTATGTGTATTTTACTTTTATTCATACCATTCTTAAACCAATAATTTGTAGAAATCAAACAAAAAGCCAGATCATTCACCTTTATTTTAAAAAACCCCAAATATTTCTATGTGAAAGAAATATTATTATAATGATGGCGTGAAATCAATGGAAACCATGGTAACTTTAAATTATCATAACTTAACTAACAACTGATTCATTGTGAAATCAGTGGAAACCATTGTAACTTCAAATTACCTAAACTTAAGTAACAACTGATCTGTTTGTTCTCAAATTTTTTTAATAAAGATACTTTTGATTGTTTAATTTTGTTGTTTAAATATAGATTATTAGAATGATAAATCTATTATTCAGAGGGTTAAATCTTAATCTACCTGATGATGATCCGTAAATTTTATATTTCCTACTTTCAGAATTGGGAAAGCTGGATATTTGACGATTAGAACTGATAAACAAGATGATACTAAAGTTAGCGGGCAGTCTGAAGGAACATTTACTGTATTAGAGTTAAATCCCCTGACTACTGTAATGTATGTCGGTGGTGCTCCAGACGATGTTTCAGTAAGTCTCTTTAAGTTTAAAAAAAGAAAAATTTCTTATCTAAAGTGGATTTATCACAGTCAACAAAATTTTGTGGTTAGTTTTATCCATTAACATATTTTAAAATGAGTAACAAAATTACCCCATTATCTAAAATCCAAGCTCATGCCTACTTACAACTTTGTCCTCAAGAATTCACATGGCTCCATGAAAATTACTCATTTGTAAACGCCAACATTGAAATGTGTTTTTTTTATAACTGTCCCCCCAGGCCGGCCGTCTGTCAAATTTTCGACAATTTCCATTTACTTGTTCAGTTGGTTGAACCTTATAAGCGCTCCGCAAAAATTATCATCAGATCTGTATAAAAATGATATCAATGTCTTGTAAATGCACCCATTACCTATAAAAATATAAATATGTAACAACCCTTGTCAATTGCTCGGACGATTTAGCTGCTGTGGGTGTATGTTTTGTTGCTTGGCAACCTATTTCATCAATCACTAAATTGTGTGTGAAACATGCCTGAATGAGACTGGTTTGTGGTTTAATTTCATGATTTCTTTTGTTTACATAGCTGCCTGAAAACTTGTTACGTATACCCTATGATGGTGTAATAGAAGATGTTGTATTTGATGAACAGCCCATTGGTTTGTGGAATTTCCGTAATGGAGAAAATAATTATATGGGAGCCCTTGAAAGGCAAGTGAAAAATTTAGAATGATTAGATAATACAACCTCAAATAATTTCAATGTGAACTCATAATTTTAGAAAAAAGTTCCAAATTATTATTTATTTACAAATATGAATGTTGCAGAAAGTCGGCCTATTAATAGTTTTTATACGCCCACATTTTCATGTGGACGTATTATGCTGTCGCCCTGTCTGTCCGGACTCTCTACAGGTCACAATTCTTATCCGATTTTGACGAAACTTGAAATATAGGTTTATCCCCAAAAGATCTCGGCTGCTTTCGATGTTGGCATGTATCGGATCGAAACTTCATGGATTATGGCCCCTGATTGTACGAAAAATCACGTTTTTAGCTTGTGGACCCTATAGAGGTCACAATTTTTATCCGATTTTGTTGAAACTTGAAATGTACGTTTATAACCCAAAGATCTCGGCTCCTTTCGATATTCGAGATATCGGACCGTAACTACCTGAATTATAGCCCCTGATTGTACAAAACATCACGTTTTTAGCTTGTTGGACCCTATAGAGGTCATAATTTTTATCTGATTTAAAAAAACGTATTATTGTATCACCGATACACCCCAAAAGACGGCTGAGTTCGAATTTCGTGAAAATCGGCCCAAAACTGACAGACAAAATGGCCACCGTTTGTTCTCAAATAGCCTAAATCCTTTCGATATTCGCGCATATCGAACCGTAACTTTCTGAATTATGGCCCCTGATTGTACGAAAAATCGCGTTTTTAGCTTGTGGATCTTATAGAGGTCATAATTTTTATCCGATTTAAAAAAACGTATTATTATATCACCGTTACACCCTAAGGATGGCTGAGTTCGAATTTCGTGAAAATCGGCCCAAAACTGACAGACAAAATGGCCGCCCTTCGTTCTCAAATAGCGTAAAAATATGGTATATCAAGTCTGTGGACCCTATAGAGGTCACAATTTTAATCCGATTTTGTTGAAACTTGAAATTTATGTTTATAACACAAAGATCTTGGTTCCTTTCGATATATGCGCATATCGAATTGTAATTTCCTATATTATGGCCCTTGATTGTAGGAAAAATCACTTTCTTTTTAGCTTGTTCTCTATCCATCTCTCGAAAATGTGGGCGTATCCTGCCTGGCAGCCGCTGGTTAAGTATCTGGTCATTTCCAAATCTAGAAATCTTTAAATATTTTCTATTTTTTCAGAGATGTTTTCAAGGCTATTACATCAAATGGATTGAGGTTTAATGGAAGAGGCTATGTAATATTGAGCCAAAAAGATTTAGGATTCAGACCAGCTAAATCTGTCGATGTTTTACTGAAATTCAAAACATATGCTGAGAATGGTCTTCTTGTTTACATGACTGATGCTAAACGTGACTTCCTTTCTGTTGAGATACGTGAAGGTCAATTAATATTCCAGTATGACCTTGGTTTTGGACGTGCTACCTTGAAGTCGCCTGATCGTTATAATGATGGTGCCTGGCACAGTATTCAAGCAAGCCGAGTGGAGAAAGATGGCTTACTTTTAGTGGACGGGTCTGAAGGTAAATAAATAAATATTGTTTTGTAATAATTTGTGAACATGAATTTTGTTGTGTTTATATGCTCACATAGAAATTTAAGCGTATATTGTCGTAACCAGCACTCATTCATCAAATTTATTCACTTTGTTTATGTTCATGGGAAGAAGAATCCTGTCGAGTTTCAACGATTTCCAATAATTACTGTTAGGTTTATGACCTTTGATCAATTTATAAAATCTTGTAAATGTTGTAACAGGCGTTTGCTGACTTATTATATAGCCAAGTCTGTTAACCTAGTTGGCTTGGGTAGATGTTAAACGCCTTATCTCTCCCTCAGTTAATGTGGATGCAGGGACGTTGTCAAGAATTTCAGTAGCGGGGACCTAAACTGGAGCTTGTAACCAGTTTTGCATGAGTTCTGCAGGATTATCAGAGAATATTATAAGATTAGAAACCCGAGACAAGATTTTTGCTGATTTAGATGCATACATGTATAAGATAAGAGTGGAGTGAAGTCAAAACATTGCAATGTTTGTTTGATGAAGCTCATTTTGATGAATTTGGGGAAAAAAATATATCCAGCGCGTGCAGGGGAGAGGTTGGACTTGGGCCTGGGATACAAGATCATCAAGTGATTGTTACTTTTGTGTATTTTAGTTGCTCGGGGTGAGAGTAAAGGAACATTAAAGGAGTTAGCTATTAATGATGAAATATTTATAGGAGGTTATAATCAACCTGAACTTTCTACCAAGTAAGTTTTCCAAGCTTAATATTTCTATATACAGTGGACTCTGTCACATCCGACATCGTACGGGATCGTTACAATATTTTGGATCACACAGCGTGTCGGAATACCAAGCTTTCTCCAAAACCGGAAATACTGTAACTTCGAAAACTGGAAGTTTTTTTATATTGTAGCTTCGAATCACCAGAATGCTATTCCCTTTAAAAATGATAAACCTTTCTGTACTTTCAAACCACTCATGTGTCATTGTGTTGACGTCTTCAAATTTTGAGTTGGTGTAAAATCGTTTCTTACTGCAGTTTAAATTATCGGCAAACTTCTGTTTAAATTCATCTTTATGCTTTAATATGTCTGACACTAGCTCAGCCAATTGAATACTTAACGGCTAATTCCTTCTGCGCAGGTCGTGGAACTTTCTCGAAATCTGCTATAAGTTGCCGCTTTACATCTTATGTCAAATCTGTTCGGGCACGCTTTGCAGGACGTTCAGACATTTTGAATACAATAATGTATAATGATTCTTCAATCGCGGCAATTTTTATATAATGTCGTGGTATTTGACATGAGTAACTAAAATCAAATACCAAGCCCACTCTTACAAGAGATTATAAATTGTAAAATAATCAACAAAGAATTTATAACATTATCAAAGTAATCAACACAGACCGGCGCTTGCGAGTTTTAATCTCACCGATAATTGATTGGTGATTGCTTGTTAATCTTTTCTGGCTTCACACCCATTGAGTTTTAATCTCACCGATAATTGGATGCTTCACACCCACCGTTTGAAGTACGGATTATACGGTGTCGATTCAATGTAAATTATGTGACGGGACGGCTGATTGATGTCGTAATCCGGAACATACAGAATCCGAATTTACCAGCGATTTTTTGGCTGAAGTAATAAGAAAATAAATCGGGACATGAAAATCATGTCGGATGTCACAGCAACCCGAAGTGATCAGACATCGGATGTTACAGAGTCCACTGTATATGTGATCAACCAACTTAACACATATTTATTGATATTGATTTATAAGTTAGCTGGTCAAAGTTCAATCATTTACTGTATATTCTAATTATAAGCAAATCAATAAACCAATGTTTGTTTTTTTTTTTCTTTTTATCAGGAACTGGAACATGTGCACTACTTATCTTGTTGTTCTCGTTGTTCTTCTTCATGGGGACAATGCTCTTCGAAAAAAGCCTAAGTTCTGCCATTAAACTTGGCAAGCTTGTCCTTGGACAATTGCACATCGATTGACATACTTCGATTTTGATATCAAGTCGCAATTACATGATGGCTACGAAAACGTCATACTCGCTTACTGGTCCATAGTACACTAATTGCTAATTGTTAGCTAGAAGATTGAAGTACTCTATGAATTACTAAGACGTCTGGTTTGTTTTTTCTGTATTGTTTATATTTGTATTGTTTATTTTATCAGAGATGTTACAAGTGAAGGTTTTGAAGGATGTATTAAAGATTTACAATTTAAATCAACTTTATGGGATCTCAATAATAATCGTGGTGCTAAAGGTGTTGTTGTTGGTTGTCCTGAACAGGTAATTTATGATATAGATTGACTCTCTCTTAATATATCACAATCAAAACAGATCTATCTCTAAGGTATTGTCTGTCCAGTACCTGACAGTGCCAATACTGATACCATGGCCATGCAAAGGAAATTTTTCTGGTTTCCAGAAAATCCTTCCCAAATATCTGATGCACAAATGAGATTTTTCTTTCGTTTTATTTTGTCAAAATATCATAGGACTCAACGATTTCTTACAAATGTCACATTTCAAGGCTCTACATTTATCTCATCTGTGTATCGGAATTCATTACGACTTTTTCTTACATCACTTACTTGTTATCATTATAAGCACTGACTTTATAGTTTTAATGTGAAAGCTGCTCCTTTCATTTCGCCTCCCCATGGATTAGAATTTAAGTCATTTCTTTCTCATACTACATGCAGTTTGAGTATAATTAACATCCACAAAAATTAAGAATTTGGATGATCACCATTTCATGATGAGTCACATTCCAATTGTCCAGTGTCATTTATTATGAGTAACATTTATTAGGTTTGTGTTATTGAGGATTGAGTATACTGTACACTGCATATTGTAGCATGATAATTATGTTTTCCAAAATATTTGAGTTACAAGACTTAATAAAGGATTGTAAGGTCCAAAATATCTTCCTTGCTATTTTATACAAATTTGTGTTAAAATTATTTATCAATATATAGATTGCTAGAGTGGTGTCATTTAGTGCTAATAGACCAGGTATTGTGGCTGTATCTGCTGAAAGTGTTGGACAAATGTTTGATCTCACTTTTAAAATGAAAACTTTCCAGAATGACAGTTTATTACTTTATACAGCTGATAATACTCAGGTAATAAACTCTCTATACTTTATTTATATTATTTATCCTACTAAATTTTGAATAAAGTAAGAGACCATTTGAATTGATTTCTCTATCTCTATCGCTTTGAGGGGGGTTGGATGGCCGAATGGTTAGCAGGTGTGTGCTGTATCATAAGGCCTGTCATTGAGTCAACTGGCATGGTTTCGAATCCTCGGTTGTATGTGACAAGGATTAGGGTCGCCTGTCCAACCTCGTGGGTTTTCTCCGGGTCCTCCGATTTCCTTCCACTGCTAAAGACCCCAACGCGCAAGCGAATTATTGAAATAAAATTAAACCATATGTTAGTCCCGAAATGACCTAGTTTGTGTCGGGTGGACGTTAAATCCCATTTTTCTCTCTCTATTGCTTTGAGCTAAGCAGAGATGAGCGATTTGATTTGTCAATGTTTTGGAAAACGAAAACTTCTATTTGAGAAGACAATCCTTATCTTGAAGGCTTTAATACATACAAAAATATAATCACTTTGGTTATAGACACAAGATATTTACAATGTAGTGTGATGCTTCAGTGGCTCAGTCAGTAAGTCGTTGGCTCGCTAACCTGTAGTTTCTGTGTTCAATCCCTGCGTTGACCGAAAAAGTTCATAAGATTTTCCGGCATGGTTCCCCCTGGTCAGTGGTGAAATACGGAGGGTCTGGCAAGGAACAATTTATTCGTTCTGACGGAAAACCAAGGTCCTATGTACACATTGGCGTGTAGTAAAAGAACTCCTTGACAGTTGGAATAAAGAGTAGGTCATAGCACTGCTGTCCAGGCAAAATTTCCCTTATAGCACACTGCATGGCGTATGCCCGTCTTCATTAGCCCAGTATGTGCTGAACAGTAGGACGTTAAACCCCATTTCATTCTCCCCCCCCCCCCTCATCTATATGTAGAATACAAGTTTAATAAATATATATTTTAATGTTTTCAGTCCAGTGCTTTTTCTGTAGCTATAGTTAAAGGTAAAATTGTTGTATTCAGTAACCCTGGTAACCAACCAACACGACTAGAGAGTAAATATGATAAATATGCTGATGGTAACTGGCATTATATATCTATCATGAAGGATGGTTTAAAGTGAGTTTATACATCTATTAAAATAATGGATTTTCAATAAAAATGGGGGTGGGGTTGTATGGCTGAATGGTAAGCACCTGCGCGCTGTATCATAAAGTCTGTCATTGAGTCAACTGGCATGGTTTCGAATCCCCAGTTGTACGTGACAAGGAGTAGGGTCACCTGTCCAACCTCATGGGTTTTCTCCGGGTCCTCCGGTTTCCTCCCACTGCTAAAGACCCCTATGCGCAAGCGATTTATTGAAATAAAATTAAACCATGTTAGTCCCGAAATGACCGTGTTTGTGTCGAGTGTTAAGACATCATGCAAGTGTGTTTATGAAATGGTAGATATACTATACTCTCCAGAGGCCAAACAATTGTCTGATCCTAATATAAGAATTAAATAAGTGCTTCTTTTGTTGTTTTTATTGATAAAAAAATCGCCTAAGTCTCTGTTAATTCAAGTTTGATCGAACAATTGCACATCGATTTACATAGTTCGATTTTGGTTTGATTTCAGATTAACTATGAATATTGATGATTATGAGATATTGGAGACAACAGCAGATGGTCCCAGAAGTGATTTATTAACAGAAACACCATTATATTTTGGTGGGGTACCTACAGATTACTTGATTGAAGATGATATGGCGCCAACTCTAGTAAGAACTGTGGGCTGTATTGGTGATGTCACTGTAAATATGGAGTAAGTTATTTGGACAAAAGATAAATTTATATAACTAAAATATACATTTGATATTCCCAAAGTTGCATTTTTTTCATGTGCAAACCTTTAAATAAAACAGCATGAATTGAAATAATTGTGCCTGAAGATTTATTGTAATTTCCAACTAGAAAGCCACCTAGTATGTAAAGTTAGAGGAATGATTGAGATACTTGATTGAATGTTCTAAAATTGAATTCTCTCAATCCCTAATGCTACGCATCACTGTTCTACTCAAACCACCTCAATTGATGGGATGGACAGAAACGGTGGCAGGACAGAAATCTTTGTCACTTGACTTCAGTTCTGTCAATTCCGGACTCACAATCGAGCATCCCCATTAGCCCAATGTACAAATTCTATATTTTAATAACATTTTTTTCTTCAGTTCTGTTAATTTTGCAAGTATTGTTGAAAATGACCGGGTTGGGGCTACAATAGGTAGCTGTCCACTTACAGAATATGAAAAACGTGTAGATCTGATTGAACCATCTAAAGAGACACCTGTTGAATCCACTGGTAGGTTTGTAGTCATATTTTGTCATTCCCCTTGTTTGTCTGTGTTTGTCTGTCATCCGCTGTTACTGAAGTTATCATCTGACTTACATGCAATTAATACACAGCATTTATGTTGATCAGATGAAGAATTTTACTTTCAATTGACTTTCAAACAATTTTTAACTACATAAAGTGTTAGGGCCATAGATCACTTTGGAAAATCTTGTGGATGTCCTAGTGGCGAAAGTTATCATCCAATTTGCATGAAATTTATACACAATTTAACAACTTTCAACAATCTTATAGTAATGTATGATTATCCAGTATAATTTATTATGACTGTCAAGAGTTGCATACTAGATAACTGAGCTTACGGTACACTTCCAGTTTCATTCAAAATTTTTTTATGGAGTTACAGTACTTCTGTAATCAGGGGAAATATATGAACATGTGGCCGTTAATGAGACTGTTTTTATTTTTTTTAAATAAATACATCTCATGCGGCCCTATTAACTGATGCAGGAGTATCTAAGAGCCAGAATATTTTTATTTCAGGACCTAATGATTATGCTGTACCGCTAATCAAAGATTCTATCGAATATAATGGATTGATAGAAAATGTTTAATATAAATTAGTTTCTTAATGATATTTTGCTTTATGTATTATAGTTACACCAGAAACAGAAAGAATGATAACAACAACACCAGCTCCTCAGTGTGCTTTACCTCTAGTACCAGAAGAAAATCTGGCAGAAAATGTCAGTGGAATCCGATTTGGGGCTCAAATTGACAGTCGAGTTGAATATGATATTCGATTACGATTTAGAATCAGGTACGCTACTTATACTTCAATCTTTTCAGTCAGGTCTTTTCATTACCCCTAAACATACAATTAATGTGTATTGAAATTAATACAGCCCACCGTATGCTTGTTTCTAATGTTAAAAAAGTGTGACACACTAGTTAACAAATCAGATACTTACATTTGTTTTTTTATATGCACAAAGACCTTGGTTTTCTTTTGATATTGACACATGACGGACCGTAACATCCTGGATTATGGCCCCTGTTTGTACGAAACATGGCTGTTTTAGCTTGTTCTATGCCTATCTCTTGCAAAATGTGGGTATATCTTGCATGGCAACCGCTTGTTTTTTCTATGAGAGATATTTATTAACATATAATTATGATTAATGTCCATTTAGGAATGGTTTAACGTGTGCACGTTATATCATAGGTTATATCGAGTCAAGTGGTGTGGTTTCTATTCCTTGCTTGTACGTGATAAGTAGTGGTCGCCAGTCGAACCTCCCGGGTTTTCTTCAGTTTCCTCCCACAGCTATAGACCCCAAAGTGCAAGCAAAGTATTGAAATAAAATTGAACCATATGTTAGTCCAGAGAAGTAGACAGTAAACCTCTCTCTCTCTCTCTCTCTCTCTCTCTGTGTTAAAGTCACATCCATGATTCAAAATAGTTGTTCTTTTTCTTTTAATATTTAGGTCCAAGTTCTATTTAGAATTCAAGACTGATGCTCAAAATGGTGTCCTATTTTATGTAGCCGATAAAAAACAGTTAGATCATATATCTCTTTCTATGCTTAATGGAATAGTAGTGTACACTTTTAACTGTGGTTCTGGATCAGCAGTTATCAGAAGTGCCAAAAAATATAATGACGGCCAATGGCATCAGGTGTGTAGAAATTCAATAATATTTATACATCCACATTTATGTTTGAAAGTATTATGCTGTCACCCATGTCCGTTCACCAGTCTGTTTGTCAACAATTGGCTCCTTAACGCATTAGAGGCTACAGTTTTTAACCGATTTTGTTGTAATGTAAGGCACAAGAAAATGTACACCTCAAAAACTTGGGCTTTTAAATTTTGGTTTCAAACTTCATAGATGTGCTATATGTTTCCTAGTTACATAATCACTGCAGCTATGTCTCAACAGCAACTTATTTGAAAGGGAACTTGATGTTGACCAAATTTTATAAACACTATCAAATTAACAAGGTCTTCCGAAAAGAAGAGGTAACTCAGGAACTGACAGTCGTTGAGGGCTGCCGATCAATAGGCTTCATTCTCACGATCATGACCCCAATGTTTCACATCTAATTTGAAAGTACTTTGTTACTTCTTCTCTCATTTTATATTCACCTCCCCTGGACGTTTTGATTTTTAATACCCTTCTCTTTATTTTGTTCCAATTCAGCTATCTTGTTGGTCTAAACTACTCTTGTTTTTTGTTAACAGCATGACAACTGAAAAAAAAGGTAAAAGTTAATTAAAATTAGGCATATTGATTGATTAAGACTTTTTTAAAATGATATTATTATTGTGTATAGGTATTGTTTGAGCGTCGAATGAAAAGTGGTACTTTGACAATCGATGGAGATGAAGTTGTTTCTGGTGAATCAGTAGGAGGTACTAGATCTATTAATGTTAATAGATCTCCATTTTACATTGGCGGAATACCTGATGACAAAAGAAAATTATCACTACGCAATCTTAAGGTGAGTTTTATTCTGCATGTTATTCTTATTCTCTGGGAAACACAAACTACATTTATCTGATCTTTTTAGAATTGTATATTTATGTAATACATTGGTGAGCTCATATCTAAAAATAATTTCCAGAGTTATTTCAACACGTGCCGTCACAGCATGCGCCGTCAATCATTGGCTGAATGGTGTGTGCTTTGTTTACATAAGACGTTACTGGTTGAATTATTACAGCAAGAACTGTTAACTCTTTATCTAAATCTTACATAATAAATCTTTAATGGTCTGTTACACTTAGTCAGTTTTAGCTGTCTTTTAAATACTCCCATTACCTACTAAACACTAAATATGTGACAAGCCTCATGGACTGCTGGGAATTCCTGACAACATATTTTTAGATTTATTAATTATTCTTTGATATGTTGTTTTATTTATTTATATAAATTTACTTTGATCATATTTAGTTTATCTCATATAGATCACAATATTTTTAAAGTTAGCCCATGTGTCATGTCTTTGTTTATTTTGATTGCAGGAGGCAAGCACAAGTTTTATAGGTTGTATCAGAAATATTCAATTAAATAAAAAAGATTTTGGTCCACCAACTCAACAGTTTAACACATCACCATGTTCAGATACTATGGAATCTGGAACATTCTTCCCAGAAAGTTCATATGTGCAATTATGTAAGTATAAACCAATATCATTCAGTTAGAGGATCTGTATTTGAATAGTTGCATTTGCTCCACCAAAACTGAATTAAGCAAATGTGATTGAAATTTAGATTATGATGATCAGATAATCCCTATGTTCATATTGATAATCTTTGTAATGGTCGGTCCTCAGTCATTATTTTCAGGCTTTATCTTTTATTCCTAAATATTTATCATTGGCTTCTCTTTATACGCCCACATTTAAATGTGGTCGTATATTGTCGTTGCTCCCATCCGTCTGTCAACGGGGGAAAACAAATTCTCATGATTTCTGATAATTACTTAATGGGTTATTACCCTTAAATCAAGTTTTAGTATGTTGTAAATGTTTTCATTACCGACAAATTGAAAAATATGTCACAACCTAATTTAATTACAGTAAACTTAATTTAATTACAGTAAACTTAATTTAATTACAGTAAACTTAATTTAATTACAGTAAACTTAATTACAGTAAACTTAATTTAATTACAGTAAACTTAATTTAATTACAGTAAACTTAATTTAATTACAGTAAACTTAATTTAATTGCAGTAAACTATCTCGACCAACACTGAACGTCTTACTCACTGAGCACCTGCAGCTCCCAAATCTTGTAAGACGTCTCAATATAGATAAAATGATACAAACATAGGTGTTTATTTTAGATATATTTAAAGAGGTATTATAGGTAATTAGAAAAAGTTTCTCTACATTTAATCTGAATTATTTTGATGTTTGACATTTATTTTCAGATGATAATTTTAAAGTTGGTTTAGATAAAGAAATAACATTGGATATAAAACCACGAGTAACGTCCGGTGTTATTGTAGCGGTACATAATAAAGGTGGTGATTTCTTTACCATAGAACTTGTTGAAGGAAAGGTAAATTAAATATATTCATTTTATAAGCATATTCTAACAGCTAATGTTATCATCTCATGAACTTAAAATTAATACAATGTTTAAGATAAAGAAACCTTATCGTTGGTGAAGTGTCAAAAGGGTATATCTCGGGGAAATTAGTCAAATACACTTTTTTGCATTTTTAAACTCTCCCAATTAATATGCACATTTCGATCTAAGCTGTGTATCTCTACGCCAATTAGAACTGTTCTGGGTATCGTGTGTCCAAATGTATCTTGATTTGTGGAAATTTTGAAATGCAAAAAGTTCTATTTCTTAATCTTTAGAAATTCTTAGATACACCCTTTTGACACTTCACCGATGTTATATGAATTTTCAAAGATCTTTACATGCCCACATTTATTGTTGACATATTGTCATTACCACTGTTTTATCCACAATTCATGTGAATGCTCTACAGGTCTGAGTTTTTAACAAAATATTTGGCAAATTTGCAGTGAATTGTTCTATGGATCATAAGGAAGTTATCTCCACTTTAATGTTCAAATTTAAGAATTCTTGACGCGATACAGGACACAATTTTTTAATTTGTATTAATTGTAGTTAGGTTGTGTCTTCTGTTTCCTTATCTCTGGTAGCTTGTTTTCACAGAATAAGACCTTAATTTTTGTGGGACTATTCAATCCTTTAAGGTATAGGGATCAATGAAATAAAATAAAACCAAGTACAAACAATCTAAACCATTAGACAAAATTTGAAGACCTAAAAAAATTTGATATAGGCAAAATAGTGTAAGCAGCAAATGGACTGTTCACCATGTACAAAATACATGATGAACAGTGGTAACAGGTATTTAACTATGAACAACTGAAATTTTACTTTAATCACAGTCTTCATGATTATATAATTTATTATTCTAGGTTGTGCTGAGTACTGATAATGGAGCTGGTATCATATCAACAGAATTTATTCCACCTGCTGAAAATTCTCTTTGTGATGGCAACTGGCATACAATTAAAGGTAAAGACATGATTAATATATATTTTTATTTGTAATTAATGACAATGATCTACCTACAGTGCACTCTGTCACATCCGACCTCTGATCACTCCGGCACTCTGTTAAATCCGACACCATTTTCATGTCCCGATTTATTTCCTTATTACTTCAGCAAAAAAATCTCTGAGTAATTCGACCTCTGTACGTTCCGGATTACGACATGAATCAGCCGTCCCGTCATACGATTTCCATTGAATCGACACCGTATAATCCGGTCTTCAATCGGTGGGTGTGAAGCAAACACTTATCCGTGAGATAAAAACTGGATAGGTGTGAAGCCACAAAAGATTAACAAGCAATCACCAATCAATTGTCTGTGAGATTAAAACTCGCTACCGTGGGTCTTTGTTGATTACTTTGATAATTTTAATCTCTTGTACGACAGTTGTGACAAATATTCAAGAATATCCACGAATTTTCCCCCCAATTCACAGTCATAAAAATATAGCTAGCACCTGTTGGAAACTTTCGTTGCGCATGCCGATTGAACCTGAATAACCTATAAGTTTGGTCACCCTACGGATCTCTTCGAACCGTGTGATGACGACCTGGGGATGCTCGAGTCACAGTCCGGAACGTCCCGAATTGACAGAATTGCAATCGAGTGACGCGGAATTCAGTCCTGTCACAGTTCTGTCAATCCCGACGACGGAGGTGGCGTATTTATATATCCAGTTGACGCATGCGTTGTGGCCCGAAGTACCCATTTTCACTCGATTGTCATTATTTTTGGGATTGAGAGAATTCAATTCCGGAATGTTCAATCGAGTACGCCCATTATCAATGAACACGTGTTAGCAAAGACAAGAGTGCGATCAACTGAAGACGGCGAAGAAGATAAATTAACGACAGACTTGACCTATTCAAAATGCCTACGCATGTTAACTGAAATAAAAATTAATGTAATAAAATTTTGAATGTACAGAAAGGTTTATCATTTTTAAAGGGAATAACATTCTGGTGATTCGAAGTTCTATGTTCGAAGCTACATTATAATAATACTTCCGGTTTTCGAAGTTACAATATTTCCGGTTTTGAGAAAACTGGGTATTCCGACACTCTGCGTAATCCGACATATTGTAACGATCCCGTACGATGTTGGATGTGACAGAGTGCACTGTAGTTCTTTTCAGCGATGTATATATACACATAGGCGTACAGGCTTAATGAGTTTTTGAAAAAATAACTGCCACAAATGCGTTTTCCTGCTATTCCAGTGCGTGAATAGAGCAACTTCAATGTGGTCCAATATAGGCTACTTTAGGTGCCGACTTGAATCCCAATCAATCGTCGTGGGGTATCGGTACCTTGCCCTTCCCAAAAAATTCGGTACAAATTCGTGGTATTCAGTTAAAAAGAGAGTAAAATTAGTGTTTATTAGATTTTGGGCACTTTATTTTGCTAACTAGGTGAAATAATAATTTTTGTTTTCACTTTACCCATGTTCCCGAAAAGTCAGATTCCCCAAAAGTTAGTGGGGCAGCCGCCCCCTCCCCCCCAGCTTGAATGCTTATGTATATATAATTACCATAATCTTGAAGCACACAATCTTCTTGTAGATGCCATATACAAACATTGTTAAAGAATCTATTAGATTATTAAACATACATTATGCAAGAGCTAAATCTGTCTATTGCAGGTCTTTCTTTAGGCCTGAAATGTTATCTAAATTATTAATTAGACATTAATTAACTTATCCAGACCATAATCAACTCTAGATAGGATCGCTAGCCTGCGATCTTTAGTGGATTATGGGCTGATTTACTGCATAACTTTCCTTCACGATTTAACGATTAAGTGGATAATCGAGACTATGCTGTTTATCGCACTGACTTTAGTAATGATGATCAAGGCTTGGCAGAAATTTCAATCGCTTAGTTCTCGGTTCATAGTGGATCAATTTGAATGAAATTTTCAGCAAATTGACTTTACATTATCATGTTTTTAACTATTATAGTGAGAACTGCCAACTCGTTATCGAATCTCCCATAATGTATCTTTAAATATGACTTGATTGTTTTATATTAATTGTTTGTCTCTTTATTTTCAGCCATTAAAGCTAAGAATGTAGCTACTCTTGAAGTGGATGGAATTGCTATGCCACCTGCTATAGGTAAAGCTGGAACATCAGAAGCCAATACAAATGATCCATTCTATATTGGTGGTTTGCCAGAAGGTTGGTATCAAATATATATGAATGCAATTACTTGTGGTAATCATATACATAAAATTAATGTTGATCCTCCAATTAAATTATGGGATAAACCCAGGCCTGAAGTTATTCTGGGAAAATTTAAAGTAAGAATTCAAGTAAAAGAACTATAGAATTAAGACCTTATACTGGGCTTATAATGTAGAAAGAATGACTTCAGTGAATATTTTAGTGAGTTTGAACCCATCTTCATAATCATGACTTAATCTTGTGTATTTTTTGTTTACAACTGTTCTTAAATTTTTTACAGGCGGTTTACGTAAGGGAATTCAAACAGAAGATACCTATGTTGGATGTATCCGCAATCTGATGATAGATGGAAAGATAGAATTTATCGGATCTGGAAAGAATATGGGTAGTGTCCAGATACTATCCTGTCCCCTATCATAAATCTGAATCTCTTCGATCTTTACTTGAAATGTTGACTCTCAATTTTAAATACAAGGAAATGTTGTACTAGGATGTCTTTGACACTTTTAACCCTTAACTGGTCAGGCTAAAAATGGATATTTGGTTTTAAGTGGTCACACGTTTTATGTCAAAAGCTTAAATGCCAACATGTGACCACCTTGCAATTCTGAAATTGTGACACTGACACACTAATGGTTGATGTTAAATTGTGAATGATTATGAAAAGAAACAAATGGTAATACCAAAAAATATTTTGAAGTTTTTAAACTTTTTTATTTTCTGTTTTAGGTTTTTATGGATTTTAATATTGTATAATATAGTTTATATTTTTGAATTATAATATAGCTGAATATAAAAATAAATATGTTGTGCGAAATTTTTCCAACAGATCATTAGACATTCGCTTGTATTACTTGCAGAGATAAAGAAGGTTTGACAGAAAATGTTAACTTTATGACAAAAAGACTTATATAAATGATTGAAACCTAACAAACTATAACAAAATATGTAACAAGAAGAAGTCTTAACAGTTTCTGTCTTACCTTTAAACCTGTCTGTTTTCTTATATATTAAATTGGCTCAAGTTTCAAGTATTGATTGATGGCTTCAGGCCGATTAAGATTTTTAGTGAATGCAAACAAATCATAATGAAACCGAACAACTTAGATTTCAAACTAAATATAAATAAAATAACAGTAATATAAATAAAGTAACAGTAACTTATTCTAAGCAGTTATTTTAATACCAAAAGACATATTTTGCTCAATTTTATATTGGAAATTCATGTTTTTAAAAATATTTTGGAAAGACATGTTTTAATAATGTTTTGGAAAATGATTTGTACATGTAGCTGTTTTAAAGATTCAGTGTTTTCTATATTAGAATACTTTTAATACTCAGTACTGCATTTTATCATTTTATATACCACAACTTCTAGTCCCTCTACCTATCTAGTTGTCTCAGGATTCTCATAATAATAGATTTGAACTACTTATCAGAGAAACAAATTGGAGGTTAAAATTTAATGATTTTCAATATTAATACAGAATTTTAGTGGTTCTAATTCATTAATTATTATATTATATTAAAATTCATATTTCGATCAGTTAATTTCCATGTACAGTTAATGTGTCTATGTTAAAAACATTCTGTGCATTTATTTCTACTTAATGACTCAAAATATCCAGTCCTGTGCTAAAACATTGCGTCATATATGAATCTCTAATTCAACAGAACAATTATAATATAAAATCCATCATATAAATATGCAAGATTTGGATTTCGCAGTGATTGATAAAGATATTAAAAATATTATTCTATTACTTAAATATTTCTTTGTAAATGTATAAATAAATTTTGGAAAAACTGCTGGTTACTATTAGAGGGGTACTCTGGATGAATATCTTCAAACAAAATAACAAAAAAAGTTTTATTATGCAGTGATTACAGTCTCTATTTATTTACCATGCCATCTTTTAATATGCCCTTGATATGCCATCTTTTAATATGCCCTTAAATCTAATTAATAAATTTTTTATTTGATGTAAAATCTTAAATTTTGGACCAGAGTACTTCTTTGTCTTAAATTCATCTACTTTTTTGCTGATTAACATTTTATCAGAAATTTTGACCACTAAATTTTGCAGGTTTGGTTCAGTTTAGAGAGACAAGATGCATGATTATTTTCTACATCAAATAACATTTTGATAATATTTCACAGAATCCCAGCGAACAAACAGTCAAAATGTATAGGCCCATGTTTGGTTGTAGACTTGTAGTCATGTGTCTCCTTTCTCTACATGTAATAAGTAAATTAATGAAATTTCTGGTAAAATAGCTGATGTAGACCTACTCTGTTTTCATGTTGAGGTACATTATAAGTTTCATGTTACGTTTTTAAAACTTTTTTTCAGCATTTTGTATTAAAAGATTTATTTGTTCATGTTTTGTTTTTATAATAATATACTTTTTATCAGCATTTTATATTAAAAAAATATACAAAATCAATGTATCATGGTGCTACAAAATTGATCATTTAAATTGCAATAATACCAGTACATTAATTATATATAGTGTATATTAATATTATTTGATAACTGTGATTTTTTCTACTTGTCATGTACAATTTTTTAATTTAACTAAATGTACTTTAATGTCAGAACAGAATAAATTAGTCCTAATTTTCATACACTAGTCAAATATATCTGATAAATATGCCTTGGTTGTTGAAATTCAATGAAGAAATGTGATTCTCTGACACCATTATTATACCTCCCTAAAAAGATTTATACAGCCACATTCAAAGATGGGCATATTAGCCTGTCGCCCCTATTTGTTCTTACTTTCGTTTAAATTTGTTTCTAGGTCAGAATATTTATCCAGTTTTTATTATATGCCTACATGGAAAAGGGTTCAATTTTGGTGCATATCGGACTGCAAATTCCTGGATTATTGCCCTTGATTGTACAAAAATGTGCAATAGAGGCCACACTAAAAACAGGTATTTTTCAAATTTGGTGTGAAGTATTGGGTTTCATGAGAAGACAAACCCTATCATCATTCAGTGTTCTACAACCTTCTGTTCCATGTGAAACATTGGGGTCATGTGAGGATGAACCCTTTCAGTATTCTGTGACCTGTTTCTTTTTGTCAAGGATTATGGCAACCACTTACCAACTGTTCAAGATTTTGTGTGTAAGTGTTATAATTCTCACATAGCCGTATCCACCTCTCTAAAGGTCGACCTAGTTTGTGTCGAGTGGACGTTAAACCCCATTCCTCTCTACCATTATTTCAACTTATAAGACAATAATTTGTATCGATATTTGATATAACGTTCTTTATGCCAAATTGTCATTTTTATACGCCCACATGGAAATGTGGTCGTGTATTGCCGTCACGACAAAAGTTATCAAACAATCTGTATGAATTTCATATGCATCATTTAAATTAGTGAAATGAAGAAGCCTCTTGAATGTCAGCAATTTCCGTCAATTACTTCTAAAGTTATGGTCCTTGTTTTACTTTGTTGGACCTTGTGAACGTTCGAATGACAAAAGTTATCATCCGATCTGTATGAAATTTATATGCATTATTTGAATTAGTCAAACGAAAAAGCCTGTTGAATTTCAGCAAATTTCCGTTAATTACATCTAGAATTATGGCCCTTGTTTCACTTTGTTGAATCTTGTGAACGCTTGAACGACAAAAGTTATCACCCAATCTACATGAAATTCATATGCATTATTTAAATTAGTGGAATGAAGAAGCCTATTGAACGTCAGCAATTTCCGTCAATTACTTCTAGAGTTATGGCCCTTGTTTTACTTTGTTGAACCTTGTGAACGTTCGAATGACAAAAGTTATATTCCGATCTGTATGAAATTTATATGCATTATTTGAATTAGTAAAACAAAAAAGCCTGTTGAATTTCAACAATTTCTGTAGATTACTCTGTAGTTGAGGCCCTTGTTTTAGTTTTTAGAACCTTGTGAACCCTCAAACGACGAAAATTATAATGTCATCTGTATGAAATTGACTATTAAATGCCCCTTATTACCTACAAAAGAATAAATATGTGACAACCCTTGTCAACCACTCAGACAATTTAGCTGCTGTGGGTGTATGTTTTGTTGCCTGGCAACCTGTCTTAATTTACAATCGTAACGTTTTTGTGTCAAAATGCTCCTCAAAAGTTTGGAAGTTGTAACCAAATCCACCATTATTTTAACTTGTCACAATAATTTGTATCGATATTTGATAATATAACCTTCTTTATGCCAAATTGTCATTTTTTAATTTACAATTGTAACGTTTTTGTGTCAAAATGACCCTCAAAAGTTTGGAAATTGTAACCAAATTCACCATTATTTTAACTCGTGTCACAATAATTTATATTGATATTTGATAATATACCGTTCATTATGCTAAATTGTCATTTTTAATTTAAAATTGCAACGTTTTTGAGTCAAAATTCCCCCTCAAAATGCGATTTCCAGGCAAGTTTGGAAGTTGTAACCAAGGGACATAACTCATGTATTTGCATGAAATCGCATGCTTGGGAATTACGATTTTAAATGAAAATGACAATTTGGCAAAAAGAACAGAATATTATCAAATATAGATATTAATTATTATTATATGAGTTGAAATAATGATGGATTTTGGTGAAAACGTGCTATCGATCTTCACTGGGGTTAAGTGGTGTTGATATATACAGTTGTTAAGAAAATGCATCCTAATATTGGTTCAGAAATGGTTATGTGATACCATGTTTACAGTATCAATTCCTGGAAAGTAGTATGGTAGTTTCAGGGGTCCATAAGCGTCCCTAAACCAGTTAACTGTTTACACGCCTACATTGAAATGTGTTTGTATATTGTCGTCGCCCCCGTCCGACAATTGTGGACGCTCTAGAGGCTAAAGTTAATATCCAATTAACTTTAAATTAATACACAGTGTTTAAGGTCATAAGACAAAGAAACCTATTGATTTTCAGTGATTTCCAATAATTACTACTAGAGTTATGGCCCTTGATCACTTTGAAAACTTTTGTGGATGCTCTAGAGGCTAAAGTTAATATCCGATTGACTTTAAATTTATACACCATGTTTAAGGTCATGAGACGAACAAGTATATTGATTTTCAGTGAATCTTTATGACTTGAACAGCTAAATCCATGATGTTAAAAGTTTCGTATACTAAACGTTAGCATGGGGCAGAACTTTATAAAAACTGAAGAAATTCTAATAGTTTTCTGATAATTACTTAATGAGTTGTTACTCTTAATCAGATTTTAATGTATTATAAATGTTTCATTACAGAAAAAAGTAAAAATATGCGACAACTCTTGTTGACTGCCTGGACGATATAGCTGCTGTGGGCGTATGATTCGTTGCCTGGCAACCTATCTTTAATGATTTCCGATAATTACTACCAGAGTTATGGCCCTTGATCACTTTGAAAAATCATGTGGATGATCTAGAGACCAAAGTTATCATCCGATTGACTTTAGATTGATAAACAGAGTTTAAGGTCTTGAGACGAACAAGTATATTGATTTTCAATGAATTTTGATAAATTGAACAGTTAAATCTCCCAGATAGCACAATACAGAATTTTAATTAATTCTTATTTTCTTCAGTTGGATATGGCTTCACGTGGTCAGTATTCTAAACTAATGTTTAGAATGTATAGAAGGTGGTTAGAAATTATACAGTTGTCAATAATTAGCAAGTGTGTAACTAGCTGTAAAAAATGTGACTATTTATAACATCCATCACTATTGAATACACAAACCTAACCAAGTGGTGTATATCATTCAATAGTCACAGTTTTAACACCTTTGTGACAAAACACCTACTTAATGATTACTGCCTGATTACTAACAATTTTAACTAATACACATTATGTATATAAACTGATGACTTTGATCTATTAGTGTCGTATATTTTCATTTATAACAGTTATTTGTTGCTTAGTCAACGATATCAAAGTTACAGTGCTTGTAAATATGTCTTATATATGTGTTTTGGGGTTGCTGGGTTCAATTCTGATCTCAAAAATGAATTTCGAGAATCCATGATGGCAGAAATTCAAAATGGCCAGCAAAATGAAATCCAAAATAGAGGAATTTTATTCAATCGTCATTTTTTACCTTGTTTCTGTGTAGTAGATTTAAGCCTCATCTTTATTTCTCTCTTTATGCTATATAGATTAACTTGTCTAGTTGAAAGTGATAAACCACTAATTATATAAATATATGTATTATATTCTCTTGTACACTGTGGTCAAATTATTAGCAATTTAATTTGCTATTATTAACATGGAATTTTCTCTATAATAGTATAATGATATAAATAGCAAATACTAAATGTTTTATCTATTAAGCTTTTCATATACAATAAAACTTGGGGATATAATTAATATACTCCTTACATAAGTAAATATATTTTCATGTAGCGTAGGCTGAGAATACTTGGAGACGGAGGACACAAGGATAAAATTTCAACTAGTCTGATTAATACTAATGGCTGTGATAATATTTTGCATTGTTGAAACCATTTTAAAGATGAAATAGCTGATACTAATGGATAGACGTAATGGTCCACAGACAAAAGACTGTCATCAGGTTCAAAAGAAAACAATTACAGATTATTAACAAATGATTTAATAAAACCCAGAGATATATTAAATACATGTATAAATATTAATCACATAAATCTTATATAAAAAAGTAAAGATGCTAATATAAAATTAATCAAATATTTTCTGATATGAGAATCATGTTAATTTAAAAATATCCCTTTGTTAATATCTGTTTAATATTAAAGGACCAGTCCCTTGTGTAAAATTATGTATTATTGTTCTAATATAAATCTATTGGAAACTTGTGGTCAATTACATGAAAACTGGTAATTGTTTTTCTTCAAATAATTGTCACAGAGCTTAAGATAGTAACATGGAACTGGGATATTAAGAGTCTTTTAACTTTTTTTATTTATTAACAAATATCTGGGATGGCTTGCGCTCCTTTAACACTAATAAATTACTTTTATAAAACGATGCATGGTGCTCGTCTGCTTTCTGTAAATATGATAAATATTCTTCATTATGTTGCAAAAAACAGTTTAATTGACATATTTTCTCATAATATTCTCAAAACAAAAACAGCTACTCTAATTGAACAGGAATAGGGTCAGCCACTTTAAATATTTGTCTCTTAAAATGCGTATTGTTGTAAATACCACTTTCATCTTGCCAAGTATTACGACCGCATCTACGATAATCTCCTGTATCTGTGAACTGAGAATGACACTTCTTGAAAGCTATTGACAAATCAGGCTGCTCCTCTTTTTTAGACTGAAATTAAATATTTCAATTAGCAAGACAAATAATATTGAAAATAAAATATTACCAACATATTACTGCTAACAGGTAATAATTACCTGATTGAAGTATAATTACACTTCTAGAACACAACAGGTAACAACCTCCCTGTCCTGTAATTAACCTACCAGGATCTAAAAAGTTCTTTTCCATGCTTGTCAGAAAAAATGATGCAAAATTGATATTTCACCTAATAGATAGAGATTCTGGTTTATTTATTGACTAAAAGGCACAAACATGTTAATGTCATATGCCAATTTAATGTAAAGACTATCATATTATCATGTAAATAAGAACTTCTGACTATACATGGAAACACATGAAGAATGGGCCGACTTGTACAATCATTATGACTTTGTCTATTGAGAAATCAAGATGGCAGTATTAAATCTACAGAAACCAACGTAAACTTTAAATGACTATAGAATGTATTGATATGAATAATTTTTGGACCAAAATGTTTTTAATGAAAGTATTTTTGATTGTGCTTAGTTTTAAACTCTGAATATTGGGACTTAAAAGAATAAAATAGGAATTGATATGAAGAAAATTTTGCAGGACACCAGGGCTACAACCTATTCTTTTTACAGGCACGTCAATGTGTAAACTGGACCTCGGTCTTTCATCCCACCCATTCTCTTCCTTGCTAAACCCCGTCCTTCACCACTGAAAAGGGGACAGACACTATGTTGGAAAATCCTGAGGTATTTTCCCTGGTTATCGAGCTAGCGTCCAACCAGTAAGCCACCGTGGCTCCACCATCTGCAATGGATGCAGTTCTCTTTAAAGTTTACATGGTTAATATTTAATAAACTTACATCTGAAGGAATATAAGGATATGGGGGTTTATAATCTGCTGCATGTGTACTCTCTAAATAATATTTATGATGATCTGGATGGTGTCGTGGTAAGACTGAACCATATCCACTTTGTGGTGATCCTAATTCTCTGAAAAAAAGAAATGTGATCAATGCCAACAATCTATCTTCCACCAAACATCAGTAGAATAACCGGAATACCTACTTGAAATAGTAAAATTGATGCCATTTTTTCGGACTCACAGTAGGAATCACCTTGAGATTAGTTACAATTGAAATAGACTAAATCCTGATTTTATTAATGATGTGTCTGTATTATCTAATTTCCAAAATATCTAAAGAAATATGTGACACAATGTGTACATTACATAGCTTTTAACACTCTGAAAAGGTTGTGTGGGATGTTCTTACATCAGCCAATTTTGAATTTCTTAAGTTTAACGGTTCATGATTTCTTGATAAAAGAGAGTGAGGGATAAATGGGGTTTAACATTCGCTTGACACAAACATGGGACTAAGATGTTATAATTTATTTCAATAATTAACTTGCACGTACGGGGCGGAAACCAGAGGATCAGGCCCCAATGAAACTCACAAGGTTGTGTGAAGGGAACCCTACTTTTCATATACAAGCTTGGGATAGCAACCACACGATTTAATTTAATATTTTAGAATGTCAATTTACAGTCTTTAATATTATTAATACCTATCAATATTTGCATTAGCAAAATTCTCTATGGTGATCATAGGTTTTCTTGTTTCTTTTTCTTCAAACTCTCTCTTTCGTAAAAAGATTTCCTCCGAATGATCTTGATATGTTGTTTTTGGTAATGACTGGAATAATAAGATCATATTCATTAAAACATAACAAAAAAGAAATAAAAGGCAAAACTTTAGAAATATCCATACTTTCAGATAAATGTTTAATTTAAAGGTTTAATAAAAGAACGAAGTAAAAATACCAGATATTGTACCAGCTGTTGATTAGCATAAACCACAGAAAAAAACATTTGCCAATAACTACTATAAATTGTAGCAATGGTTAATAAGTAGATAACGTTCATTACAATTGCTTCAGTAATATCTCCCCCAAGCCACTGAGCATATATGCACCACAACAGAGCTTGCAGACACCACTCAAGTCAGTGTGGTTACCACCATTGGTAATACTTACACCATTTGTTATATTACCAATCCGACCATAAGTTGCCTTACAAAGATCTCTCACAGCATCACGACTTATATCATAATCTTTAGGTTCAGCTTCTCTGGCTTGATGCCTGCAGACAGAATTAAAATATGTATTAAATTTAATACCTAAGTGCTGTAAAATATATATGTAAACCAAACATGTATTAGCCACGTGAATCCATCAAGTGTCAGGTGTACAAGAAGCTTACCCCGCTTAATGCATACCCCTTCTTACATAGCCAAAGTGAGCAATTGTTTGTTTATGGAGATCAGAAGCCAAAGTCATCGGATAGGCCAAGTCATAATATCACTAAACAGATTTGAGTACATACTGACTGATTTATTGGGGTTTTTTCAAAGTGACTGGAGACAGATGTCAAAGGCTAATTGTGGATGATAAAATTATCATCTATTACAGGTAGCCCCTATATGTTTTAATTATTTCTGATGGAAGGCTCCTAGTCATATGCATGGGTACCATTTGAAATACAGGGAATTTAGCTAATATTTAATAATATTTAGTATGTGATGTGAGCTGATTTTCAAAGCTAATTTTCCATGAAAGCGACAAAGATTTGGCTTCAAATATGTCTTTTCTAGTAACACATATCAATACACTATACATGTGACAAGAACGACCTTTAATAGTAAAATTCCTACATTGATTTGAAATATTTTTATTTATTTTTTTATCACAAGTAATGACTTTTGGCACTTAATGCATGCCATACATAGTCGACAGTACATGTTCGGAAAATCTGATGGAGGATTATTAATCTACAAAACAATTTCTTCCAAATCCCCAAATTTGAAAATATTGTCTAAATAGAAGATATTAAACCAGTACAGATACACCAAAATCGATGTCATAAGATAGTAGTTTCAATTCTGGCAAATGGGTACCAAAATCGATGTCATAGGATAGTAGTTTCAAATCTGGCGAATGGGTACCATGATTCAAAAGGCCATAATATTAATGCTAGAGTCATATATATAACTTTACAGTTTTACATGAGTCTGAAAAGCTCTAAAATAAGCCTGAAAAAGATAAATCAATTGGGTTTAAACAAACTTTTGTCACCAACAAGTACAATTATTGAATGAATCATAGAAGTGCAACTGTAGTTTTATTGTCTTCATATCAGACAATCATGTGAACTTACTAATTGAAATCACCAGAAATGGACAAAACTGACTTAGGGCAGTCATCAAGTACCTGCAACAGAAAGGACTAACCCCAACTCAGATACATGCCGATGTGGTCTCCACTTTAGAGGTTGATGCCCCTTCCATTTCCATGGTAAAGAAGTGGGCTGTGGAATCCTGGAAGGCCATCAACAGCAACCATTCAAGAAAACATGACCCGGGTGCATGACATGGTGATCGCTAATTGACAATTGACCACTCTACATATTGCCGGTGCCGTCGGCATCTGTCATGAGAGGGTTGAGCACATTATCGCCAACGAGTTAGAAATGACAAAAGTTTCTGTGAGATAGGTGCCAAGGCTCTTTACTGCGGATCAGAAATGTGTCAGATGCCTGATGTCCTGTGACAATCTGCACCGTTTTGAACAGATCCTGATAATTTTTTTGGCCAGATTTGTAACCTTGGATTAGACCAGTTTCCAAAAATGAAAAAGGTACTAACCAGTCGTCATTTACCTTGTAATGATGACGTAAGCTGCAGTAATGGGATTTTGTTCATATATTCTAGACATGTCCAACGCTATTTTCCAAACATCCGAAATTGTCCGACCAGGAATATGTCCAATCGAACATCAAGATATGTTGAATAATATTCCAAATTCCAAAATTAATATAGTCTACTGAGTGTATAACTACCACTCAACCCGATTATCGATGATAATAGGCTGGATTATCAATGTATTTATCGTGTATACCGTCTATACATCTACCTTGATTAACTACTTAATCCTTTATCGGACAATTCATCAATCTAATCTTTTAACACAAGTCACTACTTCCCCTTTGTCAGACTATTCATCAATCCAATAAGAGTGGTTATAAGTTTAATCTATGTGTTTACCTCGTGGTTTTTCCATTGTCGGACATTTTTTAATCACAGCAAGCATCAACCAAAAGCATTTATAAACTAGTCATAGATTTCAAATCGTAAGAGTATGTAACACCCCAAATCAATGGACAGTCATTTTGTCTGCGATATCTTTTACGTCCTTTAAGACTCCATATAGAAATTCTCATCCACAGTGGCACTTTCCCACGATCTCGATTGGTGCATTAAAATTGCTTAACATAGGAGGCAGTGATAACTATGAAGCTATGTGCTATGGGTCACGTACGCCATATGCTGAAGTTAGCTTTATGCCTTTTTACGGGTGATTTTACTATCAATGTAATTTTAACATACTGATTTATGAAGAAGAAAATGGTGTTTGACATCACCACAAGTATTATTATTATTATTTCAAACGCCTTTCTTTCATTTGCTGTCGTATAAACCAAGACATGTAATTTTGGAGGAATAATACTGGCATGGGTTTGAAGCAGGTACGGATCGGCAAGCTCTCATTCTATCGTATTACGAAAACACATAATTTTATAGGAATATTACTGACATAAATTTGAATACCATAAAGGGAATTAAATATGAAAAATAGCGAGGTGTTCCTATTTTTATTACGCACGGATTTGAATATTTTGTTGACAGAAGAAAACGATGTTCTGACATCACAAACTATTCTTATTTCGGAAGTTATGCATTCATTCGCTGCTGTATAAACGAAGACACATAATTTTGAAGGAATATTACGGTTGTGAATTTGATGCCGAAGCAGGATCGGCAAGTTTTCATTCAATGTTTTACGAAATTGCTTTATTTTGTAGGAATTTTACGGACATAAATTTTAATATTGTACGGAAATTAAGTATGAAAAATAGCGAGGTACACCTATTTTTTATTTTGTACGGGATTTAAATACTTTGTTGACATGTGATTTTTAATTGTGCCGTGGTATGAATTCGTTTGATTAAATAACGATGAGAGTTATGCCCCTTTATTTTCGGTAAAATGTCCGTCAAGAAAAATTTTGAAATCCTATTGCAGCTGTGAACCACTTTTTTTTTTTCATTAGAGTGGCTGAAGAAAATATCTTCCTGAAAGGCATTATTTATTAAGGCCTTGTGTTGTTGGCAAAAGTAGAATGATGAATGGAAACTATCGACTTTTTACAGGTCTTTCACAGACAGACTTAGAACTTTTCAGCCAGCACTATAGTTTTTCATAATATTTGACATATATCAAGCACTGAAATAATTTCCATGCCATAAGACTAAACCGTGAACTTACCAGTTTGAGGTGAGGGTTGCCCTTGCATAATTCATGTGATTTGAACGCAAAAACATCGACCCTTTTCTTTCAACGAAATCTGGCACCGTTGTACTCCAGGTGCTCGTCATTTTGTAGTTATGTATCAGCAGTCTTGTTAAACAAATATTAAAATCATTTATGCCAAGAATGAAGCTCAAAATCTACATAAATAACGCGAGTATTAAAATGGAAATTAATCGTTCGTGTTATCAACATACGTCATTGATTGTTTACATTGACAGCGGAAGTGACCAAATAACCCCTACAAAAAATTCTACCGCAGGATAAAATAGTACTTAATTTATATATTTCATAAGCTTGTTTGCTATGTTTTCTTAAAATGTAACTACATTTTGCATTTAACTATTACGGAGTAGATTGATAATTTAAACCAGTTTGATAATGAACTGAAATATATGCTTCGTTATAAAGATAATAAATTGATACGCTTACATGGCAACTATTCACACGAATAACCCACAATTAAGCGGTCAGCAAGCCATTTGTTGAAAAGTGAATCACTCGCGCTTAGCACATTAGCCCCTCTCGCCCAGCAGATAGTCACTGTCAACGTGGAATACAGAAGCCGGATTAATTAAATTCATGCTTTTTAAAATAATAGATCAATGTAAGGATTTCTGATGTCTTTGTTGTTGCTGATTTTGTCTCCTTATTTTTCTTTTGATTAAGGCAATTATAGGTGTGTCTTTTCACCGCCGACTGTTCTCAAAATACAAGATATTATCAAAATAGGGACTAAATTACATTTGCACAAACATAAAATCTTCAACCTTTATGATTATATTTTCAAACCACTGACAAGGAGAAACCACGCCGTGGTCAAAGTCCCAATGAACTTTCCCGGCCAGGTTATTGCACGCAAGTAATTACGCGGTTAGATATAACACGCTTGATTTTAACATAGAATTGAGACAATTTTAATAAAATACAGATTTATAATTTTTTTTTTTTTTTTTTTTTGTACTTTCGATGGCCAACACTACATGAAGATCTGACAAGTTGTACTCGAAGGTCGTGTCAGGGGTTGTACCTAATCGTTGGGTGGGTTGGGCTGTAGTAATAACATGCGCTGTGTTAACTTTCACTTTGTAAATTACATTGAAATCAAGCTACTATACTGGGAACAAGACAATAGAATGAGCACTACTGATAGATGACACCAATATCGAGATCTTTGCCCAGGTAAAATGAATTGATTATTAACTGATATAATGTATGGTATGCCTAATCGTTGGGTGGTTGGGCTGCAGTAATAACCACAGGCACTGGAAGGGATTAAAATAAAACTTCTTACTACTCTTTCACTATAATAACATGCGCTGTGTTAACTTTCACTTTGTAAATTACAATGAAATCAAGCTACTATACCGGGAAAAGACAATTATAGTGTAATCCAGCAGTACTGATAGATGACACCAATATCGAGATCTTTGCCCAGGTAAAATGAATTGATTATTAACTGATATAATGTTATACTGGGAAATATCTGCAAAGTATAATGTTATACTGGGAAATGTCATCTCATCTCTGTCGCCAAGTCTCTTGGCAAACCTCAGCAGATTCCAGTACCGGTACCCTACAAACAGTATCTGCCGAGGTTTGCCAATTGTCGCCAAGTATATTTTGTATCTGTAAATGATTGTAAAAATTATTTAATATCTTTTTTACCACATTATTTTAATGAGATAATTAGTGTAAGCCAGGGCCTACATTATTGACTGGAGATTCAGTTATTGGAAAATACTAGATTTCATAATAAAACTAGGGCTATTTTCGTTGTGATGTAGCAACGCCGTAACTATTTACTGCGTAGTCTCGACAATCCAGACCCTTTACCTTTAGCAAGTCACCTGCGGTGTCGGTTGAATTCAATGGCGTGTAGGGCCTACCAGGAAACGACATATATTTAATAGAAAGTAATACGAATGAATAAATTGTACGTTTTAGTCTAACAAACATGCATGTACCAGAACATATCCAAAATTTGACCTGATGAAACACTATTCCTTTCCTGCATTCAGGGCAGTACTTGATAAGTTAAAATTTTAATTAGTTCCTAGCTCCCATCGTCTTTATAAGTCCTATGATGTCTGAACGAACCATTTTTATACGCCCATGTGGAACTGTGGACGTATATTGCCGTCGCCCCTGTCCGTGCGTCCGACGTCCACAATTTCTTGTGAACGCTCTACCCCCAAAAGTTATTATCCGATTATTTTAAAATTGATATATGTGGTTTACATTAGTGAGATGAAGAAGTCTATTTAATTTTAATAATTTCTGTTCATTACGTCTAGAGTTATGGCCCTTGTTTCACTTTGTTGAACCTAGTGAACGCTATTACGCCAAAATTGATCATCCGGTCTTTGTGAAATTTATATGCATTATTTAGATTAGTGAAACGAAGAAGCCTGTTGAATTTCAGTAATTTCCGTTTATTACTTCTAGAGTTATGGCCCTTGTTTCACTTTATTGAACCTTGTGAACGCTCGAACGCCAAAAGTTTTCATCCGATCTTTCTGAAATTTATATGCATTGTTTAAATTAGTGAAACGAAGAAGCCTATTGAATTTCTGTCAATTAGTTCTAGAGTTATGGCCCTTGTTTCACTTTGTTGCACCTTGGAAACGCTCTAAAACCAAAATTTATCTACCGATCTGTATGAAATTTACATGCGGCATTTAAATTAGTAAAGAGAAGAATTCTATTGCATTTCAGCAATTTCCGTTTATTACTTTTAGAGTTATGACCCTTGTTTCGCTTTGTTGCACTTTGTGATATTTATATGTGCCATTTAAGTTAGTAAAGAGAACAATCCTATTGGATTTCAGCAATTTCCATTTATTACGTCTAGAATTATGGCTCGTTTCACTTTATTGAACCTTGTGAACGCTCTAACGCCGAAATTTATCATCCGATCTTTGTGAAATTTATATGCATTATTTAAATTAGCGAAACCACGAAGCCTATTGAATTTCAGCAATTTACAATAATTACTTCACTTTGTTCAACCTTGTTAATGCTCGATTGATGAAAGTTATCATCCGATATGTTTGAAATTTATATGCATCATTTAAATATGTGAAACAGAGGTCTACTAAATTTCAGCAATTTCCGTCAATAATTTCTAGAGTTATGGCCCTTGTTTTACTTTGTGATCCTTGTGAACGTTTGGATGACAAATCCGAACTGTATGAAATTTATATGCATTATTTAGATTAGTAAACCTATAAAGCCTGTAAAATTTCAACAATTTATGTAGGCTACTTCCAGAGTTGAGGCCCTTGTTTCAGTTTGTAGAACCTTGTGAACGCTCAAACGTCAAAAAATTATAATCTGATCTGTATGGAACTGTCTTGTAAAGCCCCCCCCCCCCCACACTACCTACAAAGGAATAAATATGCGACAACCCTTGTCGACCGCCCGGACGATTTAGCTGCTGTGGGCGTATGTTTCGTTGCCTGGCAACCTATCTTTAAATCGTGGCAAGCTCTCGAAAGTTAAAGACACCAGGCGCCCCATTAATCATGTCATTATAGGCACCCCTCCGGGATACGGCATCCCACAGATCAAGCCGTTTTGATCGCCCCATCAATCACGTTGTGGTGTTAATCGTGTGAGTGATTATGAGGCGCCCCACCCTTTCGGGGGCGCCTCATATATAACGACATGATTGGCGAGGCGCCCATGAAACCAAGTGACATTGGTTGGGCGCCCCGCCAATCTCGTCGTGGGCGCCACATAAAGCCGAGTGACATTGGTTGGGCGCCCACGATATGGGCACGTTGGTCCTTGGCTTTGTATTGCGTCCAATGGATATGAACATTATAAAAATTTGAAGGAAGGGATACGACTTGAACGTACCTATAATGATTTATGAGAAAAACGAAATGTTCGCAATCGGGTTAGAGTGCGACTTGTTTGAATTTTGAAGATTATCACGCCATTTTGGGCGCCCAATTCATTCGTGGACGCCTAACCTATCACACTCTGCATTATGGGCGCCCCGCCAATTATATTATGGGCGCCCATGATGTCGTCGTGGGCGACCCTCCAATCTCGGCATTACGGGCGCCTCTCCGGGATGAGGCACCCCACCAATCATGCTGTTTTGGGCGCCCAACTGATCAAGTCGTGGGTGCCTAACCAATCTTAATCGGCATTATGCATCATGTGCGGCCGACAATCATATTGTTGTTATAAGGCGCCCCACCAATCCAATCATTATAGGTGCCCCTCCGGGATAAGGCACCCCACAGATCAAGCCGTTTTGGGCACCCCATCAATCACAATCAAGTAGTGGTGTTAATCGTGTGATTCGTTATGAGACACCTTACCATTTCGGGGGTGCCTCATATATAACGACATGATTGGCGAGGCGCCCATAAAACCAAGTGACATTGGTTGGGTGCCTCGCCAATCTCGTCATGGGCGCCTAACCAATGTCACTCGGCTTTATGTAGCGCCCATACAGATATAGACACGTTGGTCGCTGGCTTCGTATTGCGTCCAATGGAAAGGGCTCCCATTGGGTTAGCCGAGTTTTTCTCCAGTCAAATTCAAAGTCACCCATTTTTGACCTAAACTACTGAATAAATTTAAACCAGGCATGTGGCTTGTGTGGATTTCTTTAGTTTTATTCCATCCTTTATGAAAGGGAAAATTGAAAAGTTTTACTTCACTCTAAAGCCACTTGGTAGATTTTAATCTACGTGAGTGCTAAACATTTGGTTAAAAATTATAATTTCCAGCCTAGCCTTTTGGTAAAAAAATAGAAACTTACCAGTTATAATTTCCAGCCATGGCCTCCCAGATTAAGGTCACTTGATTACGATTTCAAATTGTAGCCTTATGAATTTTTAAAATATGTTCAACTATCCATTTTCATAAATATTAATAGAAATGTTGGACAAAAAGCAATAAAATTGTGACAATTGTTGTGCGTATGGCAAAGTTCTTTTGAAGGTGTATGATTCTTTGTCTATTATCTTATATTTATGTTTATCATTTTAAGTGTATCTGTCCTCTAAATCTACATCACATCATTTTTATTGATATTGATTCAGTATTGCAATAACACAAACGACATATAAATAAATAGAAAAAAATAAATAAAGTTAACTGCATGTTTTAAGAAAAGTAATTTTAAGATTTTTTATATAATATTTAAACATCGCATTGTAACGTCATTCAAAAGATGTCGGTTAG